TTATATAGGGGTATATAAGGTTTTATAGGGGTTCTATTGGGATAATGGAAAATAAAATGGAAACTACTATAATGGAGAATCAAATGGAAAAGAAAATGGAAAATGAAATGGAAACTGGGGGAATAATGGATCCTTCTTGTATGCAGTAGAGATGACTCTGGCAGAAGCCTTTTTTGGGACCCGCTGCGTCCACGTCCTTCGGAGCTCCAAAAGAGGCTGCCTTGCTTCATTCACGAAGCCTGCATCGAAGAGGCTTCGGCGAGAACCTATGCTCAGACCAGACAATTCATCCCCTATATAAGCCATTGTAGTAATTTCCATTTTATTTTCCATTATCCCTATATAACCCCTATATCATAACCCCTATATAACCTCTTGCACTTTATTGACTGGTACAACTGCCACAGCGACGGAATCCACTTCTTGATTTGTGGTAGCAACCACCCCACCCCGCCTGACCCGCCACAGGTGGAATCCACAAAGGCCTTGACCTCCCACGTGCTGACACCAAACGCCTCCCGAAACGCAGCAGCACCTGACGTTGCGGACAACCAACAGCAGCCTTGCTGTCACAAAAGCTGTCCGCAGTGTCGTGGAATTGAAAAGTGGCTGACCCCGGCCAAGCCCAAAATGAGCAAAAGTGGAGAGCTGGTTGAAGGCCTCTCCAGCGTCGTCTCCAGAGTGCCCTCGCTCGCCTTTGGAAGGTCACCTGGCTCTGAGCCTGACATCAACGCGAAACATGAAATGGCATGATTTCGAAGCAGATGAAGCACAAAGGCACCTTGTGCAGCTGCTGGTAAAAGAAATTGCACCTTTGGCTCAGTTCTTCCCCTGATGGCCTTTGCTTCTGCAGGACAAGATCAGCACCACACTACAGGTTGTTAGCCGCCAGCCGAGTGGCTCATCTGCTGGATGCTTTGCCAGTAGCGGCACCGCTAGCAAGATCAATCCACTCCAGCAAGGTGGCAAGAGCACGCTGTTGACGCCTGCACAACAGCATGAAGACTAGCTCTGTAGAGCTTTGAGCTCAACCGCGGCTTGCCAATGGTTCCCTAGGCCTGCAACCCACGGAAAGCCGGTAGCCTTTTGCAACAGCCAGTCCTTACTTTGATGCGGGCTCTGCTTCACAGGGGGAAGCCACAGAGGTCAGACTGAATGCTTCGGCATTAACAGCTCATCATCACTTCAAATATTGTTCAAAGAGGGGTCAACTTCTTCCAGGTGAGAAGCCCAAAGCTGCTCTCGCACAGGCTTGTCGATTTCGGGGCAACCCCAGCACTCCAGGCGCTGATGCCAAAGATGGAAGAACTGCTTCCATGCTGGATCAGCGTAGCCTCAACTGCCCAAATGCCGTACCCATGTCTGGACAAGAACAAGCCATCAAATGAGCCAGTCTAAACTCCTAGCATCGCCCTTAATAAACCCTATAACTCTCTCCTATACAATCCCGCATACAACCTCCTGCAAGGAGTTTAGACCATTCGCGGCACACCCATGCCTAAACCGTAATAGCGTCCATCCCGAATAGCATCTACTCACCAAGCGCACGTGCAAACGACTTCCCTGCCATCCAAGCTGGCCTTCAAATCCCGCCCACAGCTGAGGCAGTACGAAAATGCGGCGCAAGGAAGAGGAGACGTCCCGTTTCTAACAGACTGGTCAGCAAATGGCCAACCACGTGTTCTGAAAGAGTGAAAGTGTGTGAGCCAGGCTTTTTCTTCTGGGAATAACTCCTGAACTCGAGATCCTGCAGTAGCTGCACGTGGACAGATACCCAACCTTGACTGTTCTTCACCACATAAGTCTATCATACAAGGACCGTCAGGAACATGCCCTGTTTGGCCCACATCATGAGATTCCGCTAGCTCATATAAGTAGAGCGCGCCTATAACCGGGCTCATCACACTCTTCGCGCATGCGGCGTCATGAAGAGCCCTCCGTCTTCCACATCTGAACACAGTTAAACCCTAAACCCTAAACCCTATAGTAGTTTCCATTTTATTTTCCATTATCCCAATATATAACCCCTGTATAACCCCTATAATCCCTGTTGTTTCCATTTTCTTTTCCATTATCCAAATATGCAAACTGCAAGGGCATCCAAGGAGCAAGCTCTGGGGTAGACCTGGGCCGGCACCCAACTGAAATGGTCTGCGGGAGCTTCCATCTCCCGAAAGAAGACGATACCATAGCCGGAGTAGATGCGAGCATGCTGTGCGACCCTGAGATGTGCAGCATATCTCTGGCTTACTACTGTAAACATCAATGTAAATCATCCAAAAAAGGGCAATGCTGCAAAACTCTGAGCTGCAGGCAGACTGGTCTCCAGCCCGAAGTCACCCCCGTAGATGAGGGCAACACGCTGACAGGGTCATTCATCTTGAAATGGGAAACAAATGACCTCTACGCTTTGTAGACAGGGTTGCGCCTCGTGTGGATAGCCGGCAGCTTGAACATCGTCAAAAAAAGGCAGGGGATCGCAGGCCTGGTTGGGCCCCACCTCAGGCAAAGCTTGATCGCAGCAATTTAGTATGCCGCAATGACATCAGGCATTGTTCACAGTTCACAGCCTTCCCAAAAATGATTCCGTCGAACTCGTGACCTTCGACTGGAAGCTCCAGCTTTGCACTCGAACTTACATGTATGCTGGGCCAGCCCACGGAAGAGGCTCTCCTTTACGGCATCCCGCTCTGCGTTGGTTGCAAGAGTCTGCGAGGCGCACTGGCGGAAAAACTCTAGGAGCCAGTTTACTTCCCGGCTGCAGAACTGTCACTGTGGTTCGCCAGACTGTGATGATTGGATGGAGCAAGGTGCATCTTATATAGTGGTTTCCATTTTCTTTTCCATTAACCATATATAACCCTAATATATAACCCATTGTAGTAGTTTCCATTTTATTTTCCATTATCCATTTATAATATCGTGGAAGTCTCTACATCAGCTGTGGGAGCGCCACCAGCCTCACGCGGCAGTCGATGCGCATAGGAAAAGCCGAAGCCGTACATCCTGCAGCAAGAGAGGCTGTTCTGGCAAGAAGCAAAAACACCATTCGCAAAATTTGCTTGCTTTTGTGCTTTTGAAGTTGCTACTCAACAACTGCTTTGAGAACTCTCGTGCCTCACACGGAGGGCCTCCTCATCCAGCCTGACGTCGCAGTTTCCGTTTCAGGTCGGTATTGCCGCTCCAGAAGTTTATGCTGGCCTCCCTCATCTTATAGTCCCCCTCTTATGGGGTATATGGGGATCTTAGTAAAAATGTGCCCACAGCCATATTCTATCTACTTAAGGGGGACTATAGATCATGAAGGCACATGCTTCCCCTCCCCAAACTCGCAGAAAATTGTAAAGGCTACACCAAGACCTACACACCTTAAGAATTCCAATGAACCTTGTGAATCAGCCGCAAACTGGGAGCGCAAAGGTAGCGGAAGGTGCCATCTGCTGGCTGAGCAACCAGCTATAGTACCCATTGGGCTAATATTAGGGGTATAATGGAGGATCAAATGGAAAAGAAAATGGAAAATGAAATTGAAGCTGGGATTATAGGGTTCATAGGGGGTATGCGTAGCCAGCAGCAAACACTAATCGGCCATGACTTGCAGGCAGAACAGTCCTTGAGTCGGGCTCATCTGCCATGTACCAGAAGTTCGACCTCTGCCCGTTTTCTTCATGGGGTTCAAGTAACTTGCGAACCAAGGTCAAACAGCCGCAACTGAAGCACAAAGTACACTACCAGGTGGGATACCAGATGGGAGACCTTCGAGGCCCAGGTCGAATATTCATCGACGGCTCTGCATAGCATATTCAACCCAATTCCCAACCCAGAAAGTCCTGCCTTGATTCTTGGAAGCCTCAAAACTCTGAAAGGATGTTCTCGTCTTGCTACTCTTGCTTTGGCATCTATGATTGCTAGTACCACTGCAGAAGCAGGAGCAGCAGCAGCAGCATGAGAACTGGCAGTGGGAGTAGCAACAGTAGGAGCAGAAGTTGTTGCTGCTGCAGTCGGAGAAGCAGCAGCTGGAGCAGTAATTGACTGGCTATAGTACCGTACAATACACTACAATATGGAATAATATAGTAGAATATAGTACTACTCTACTCACCCGTGGCATGTCTGCAACACGGTCAAGCCACCGCGGAGCCGTCTCGCCGGGCCAATAGTCTGGATCTGGATCCATGGCCTCATAAGCCCTAGAAAGTCCCTATATAAACCCCCTGGTATATCCCATATAACCCATATACCCCCATAATCCCTATAGAACCGCGCATAGACCGTAACCGTAACCCCATATAACCCCTATGCAACCCCATGTAACCCAACACAACACCTTCTTGACCCTACATAACCCCCCATGTAAACCCTACATGATCTAGGTCGCAGAGCGTCTGTATGGGGAAATTAGGGGTATATGGATAGTTTCCAAAATCGGGGCCCTATTTTGGTACCCCCAAATATTAGGTGCCGTGACATATAGTCTGAGAACAACCCACATAGGGATTATAGATGATTATAGAAGGGTATTACAGGGATTGTATCAGGGTTTCAGGGCTTGTTTGCTATACAAGGATTATGTGGATTATACAGGGACATATGGGCATATCACCCCAACCATGGAGAATCAAATGGAAAGAAAATGGGAACTCTAGGTCCCGTCAAAAGGAATATCTTATTTGCATAGGTCGTACGAGATAAAGGAAGCTTTTTGACACTGCTTTCTGAAGTGTATGGCTTGAAGAATGAATCTCTTCGCCGCTGATGCCCCTAGCTCTAGCTTGTATCTTGAAAAGACTCAGCCCGCAAAGCATGACAAATGAACGGCAAAGTGGGATGATGGAGCGCATTGGAGCTGGCTAAGGAAGCCGTCGTTCAACGTTAGAGACCCAGCTGACGAACCCAACAAACAAGGCTTGTGCACTCAAGCTGCTGGTGCATCGATGATGCGAGACCCTGGCCAAATCTAGCGTTGGCAAAAGGGCTTCATGCAAAGTGCAAAGAGCAGGCCCAGACCTGGCACTTCCCTCAGCAGGCGGTGCAAGCCCAGGAAAACACCTGCGCAGACGGCTCCACATTTTGGTTTTACCCATAGCCCATGACATCTTGACAAGCTTATATGGCTTGCATTGCGAAGACAGTTCATCTTGCAAGCAATGAATAAGCAAGCCAGCGGCACCGATGCTCACTGGACCTTGCCAGCCATCACGGCCTAGACACAAACGCTAGGGATGGTGCCATGATGCAATCGTCCTCATGATACAGGATCCTTCATGCTAGGACTACACACAAGTGCTCTCTGAGCTGTTTTACGGAGCCTCCAAGTGGGAAGAAGTAAAGAAAACTCGAGCACCGCATTTATCTTTTGCTGCTGTTCGGCAACCGTCGCACGGACTGCAGGGCGTTCACGTGAAAAACAGGCGGACAGCCCTGCCTGCCCCTGTGAAGCCAAAGCCACAAGTCACATACCTGCTGAAGAGCTTCAGCAAATGCTCACCACCAGCACGTGGCAAATACTTCAGCACAGGTGCAGCATGCGAAGCGGTCTCTGAGTCGGCCAAAGGCCCATGCTTCGCAAGACCTCGTTTGGTATGTTCGGCGGCTATCGCAGGTGGCACGAGTCAACAGGGACTGGCAGCCCGACACGTGCGGCCATGGACTCCGCAGACAGGCACCTCGGGGCACAGCCGCTTACAAGCCAGCGACGAAGATGCTCAAAGTTATTTGCAGTACTGGAAGCCAGCCCTAGGGCACAAGTAAGCCATCAACGGATCAGCCAGCAGTTGCGACACCACTGCTGAGCCGTGGGCCGGCGAGTGTGGTCAAGAAGCTTGCGAACTGTCGCCTTGGCTGCTGCTACAACTGTGACGTCCATACACACAGGCTTGTCTCTTGGGTTGCTGTTGAAGGCCTTAAATTAAGTTACTATATTGGGGAAACCATATTGGTTACTGTATACACCAATTATGGTAACTTGACTTAAGTTCCTGAACAGCAACCCAGCCGTGTCACCCAGGCTGCCTGCGTTATAAGCAGCCTCCAACCGCCGAGAAAAAGGAAGCAGCCTTGCAATGACAGCCAGTGACAACCAGTGTTTTTTCTTCTCTGCAATGCGCAATATGGGGGTTATATAGAGATATTATATGGATACTATAGGGATAGGGGTTACACAGGGCTATATAGGGGTAGTGGAAAAGAAAATGGAAACTTCTTTCCCTTAAAGTCTTGACAAAACCCCTGGGAAGGAGCACTGCTCTTCAGCACTGCTCTCCACAAACCAGCACTCCCAAGGGCAAAAATGCAACTCATTTTTTGGGCCAACAGTCAAAAGCTAAAAGGTTAAACTGAAAGGATCCTTGACGTAGAACATCCATGGACATATGAGCTATAGTCAAAACTCCTAGTATTTCCCTTAATAACCCCTATGGTAGTCCCCTGTATAATCCCCTATATAACTCCGTTTGAGGAGTTTAGACTATAGTACATATCCCTTGAATAAACTCTTCAGATTGTATTGATTACTTTGTGGGCTTCGCTGGCCCAACTTGCCCTGCAAAAAAGTAGCGGCAAATAGTGTGCCTCGGCCTCTAGCCCACAGGCATGGGTAACAGGCAGACCAATCTCTAAACTTCTTTCACCTCTGTGTGTTGAACTTTCGCTCCTCCCGCCGCCATAGAGTTCCCTCAACTGTGGAGCGCGCGCAGTCCGGATCTCACAGGCCATGAAAAACCCTCCTTTGGGGTACGTGTTTTGCTTTCTCTGGGTTTGCGGCTGTCGGATGCACCTGGAGGCTGGGGAGCCTTGTGGGACCCTGGAGAAGCAAACAAACCTCTTTGCACGAATGAATCATCCAGATGGTGATGTTCGCTTTTGCAAGAAGACAACGACGAGAAGGACTGCGTCTGGCAACTCAAGCATCTATTGTGGCTGCCAAGGCAGCTCAGCAACATTGCGCAGTACCGCCTCCGTTCCTGCACGTGTGCTCCGCTCTACGCAGCTTCCAGGCCTTTGCGTACGAAGGATTTTGTTCCTCGCATTAGTGATGCCATGGAGATAACGCCCGGCCAGACCAAGAACGCAACACTAAAGCTAGCCCCCCAGCGCTTCTCACTGTTGCTGTGAAGCGCTGACACCTGCGAGCTGCTTGCCTGCTGCGAGCTCAAAGCGCTGAGGGGACAATTTACGGAAAAGAAGTAACAAAGCAACAAAACAGAAGGCACCACAGGATGCAAATCACGAAACTGGCACAACCAAGGTCCGTGCTGATGTTGAGCCTCCAGCAGCAAAGACTTGGGCACAAAGGGCACCGCGAAGGGAGGTGCCTGTAGCTGCAATGCTTCCAGTGATCCCGAAAGCCTCACTGGTGGGTTTCCCAAAACTAGGGGTACCGTTTTTGGGGGTCCCCATAATAAGGTCTATAATGTTTGGAGGTCTACACTGGGGTCCCCTTGCTTTGGGCTACCCTCTGCGGGGCTGGACTGCTGCTGACCTCTGCCTGTTTGAAGCTCCACGATTTGCTTGAGTAAAGGGGCAGTTGCAGATCAAGTGTCGACGATATGGGGATAGGGAGCTCTCATTAGAAGTCCTCAACAACCACGCTTACACTTATGGTACTTTGTAAACAATGCCTGCATCACGCACTGTTTTTGCACCAATGGCGCTGCAAGGTGCATTCCATGCAAGGCGGTGTAGAGTTCACGTGTGATGGGATATGACTGGCATGTCTACGAGGTCATGACTGATACGGGAGCCATGGCCAGTGTCCCACAAAATGCCTCCGCCAGTCCGGTGAAGTTCGGCACCTGCAAGGTATTTGGAGGCGTAGAACATGATCTCCATTTAGGGGCTGTTGAAACCAAGTCTTAAAATCTCTGGTAAGTAGATGAATTTCCCAAAAAAGATCACGGTCACTGCAGGAAATGCCCTGCTTTTGGAGTCTCAACACATACACCCTCAACAAAACCTGCCTATGCTATCCATATTGTGTGTCATACTTGCAAAGAGCTAACAGCAAGTAGATTTCCCAGGTCTGCACTTTTAGATTCTCATCAGTTCTTGCTTGTGCATGACCTAGCAACTGCATCCCTGTCAAGTCCTACAGACCAAAACGGATTGCCGATGATCATCATGGCGACATGTGGTAGTTTCCCTAAATAGGGGTGCCCCAATATAGACCCCCAAATACTATAGTCCTTATTATTGGAACCCCCAAAATAGTATCCCTAATTCTGGGAAATCCTCATGTCTCTATTTTTGCAGAAAACCCTTTGAGGCCCAGGCTGTGCCCATGGCAAGAATTTCAGCGTGCCGGGTTGCCTTGCAACTCTAGGAATGCTACCATAATATAGTAGCTTCCATTTCATTTTCCATTATCCCACTGTAAACCCAATATATATATATATATTGACCTATTATAATGTAGTAGCTGCATTGTATTTTCCATTATCCCAATGTAACCCCAATATACACCCTAGTAAAATAGAGTAGCTTCCATGTTATTATGCATTATCCCAATGTAGGCCCCATATATACCCTATTATAATATAGTAGCTTCCATTTTGTTATCCATTCTCCCAATGTAACCCCAGTATATACCCTATTATCATATAGTAGTTTCCATTTTATTTCCATTGTCCCAATATTCATTAGCAAATAACCTTGCAAAGCCGAGACCCTGGCATCCCAACCACCTTTCTTTTTTGTGTGCGCAAATCTGTGTCGCCGGTAGAACTGATGATACCTGGCTTTCTGGAGCGGCTATGTTGGGCCCGGGCCATGCAACTTCAACACTTACATTTGCGTGCACAAGTCCAAGAAATTACAGAAAAAAGTATTCAAATCTTTCGCTCATGTTGCTAAAGCAATGGAAGTTGATGAAATTGAAATGAACCGCAAACTGCAACGAGTCACTCCCGATTGCCCGCAGCGACGAATCACAACGAGCTGCAATCGAAGCTATGTCTGGATGGCTGCAGTCTGCTGGCAACAGGACCAGTATATACCCTATTATAATATAGTAGCTTCCATTTCATTTTCCATTATCCCAATGTAACCCCAATATATACCCTATTATAATACAGTAGCTTCCATGTTATTTTCCATTATCCCAATGTACCCCAACACAAAAGTTGCATCAACTGCTTCTTGACTCGGAGCCTTTCTTCATCCATTGGACCAAACTTGTACTCCTTCGCCTCGGGCGGGCATTAGAACTAGGGTAGGCTGGCCAATGATGCGTCCGGTGACTGCAGGTGATGTGCCAGAATGATAGCCAAAATATGTCTGAAAATGCAGAGCATCCTTACCTTACTATGCCAAACTGCAAAGAGGACCAGGATTCTCAGACACCCACATCACCCCGCTGCTGCCGGCTACACAGCTTCATGCAGGGCGCAAACTCAGCCAGGAACTTCCCCGCCCGCCCTGCTTCCGATGAATCCGGCCGTCACTCGCATCTGACACAGCCGCGAGGCCCGCAGGCCGAAAGATTCGGGAAGACTTCAGATGTGCTGACATAATTTGCAAAATTCATCGTAGGCTCTAGGCGGGTGATGTTGTTTGGACAGGGAAGCTAGAAAAAGCTCTTATTGCCAGAGCTAACATGGTCAGGACTGCTGCCAATTCTTTTGACCAGCATTGATTTAGATGCTGAACACCTTTTCCACCATCCGTCATATCCTCGCGCAACGAGGGGTCTTCCCCGAAAAGGTGGCAAGTTCACTGATTGCCAACCCCGAGCAGCTAAGCCTCCTGCTGGAAACCTCATTGTCAGAATCACGAATCTGATCGACACCACGACCCTCATCCTCTTCATCAACATCATCACCATCACGCAGCTTGCATCATCGTATCATGAGTTTCTTTTCTTGGCTCGTGCGCGGATGCAGTCAACAGTATGTGTATACGTGTATGTGTATGTGTATATATATATACACACATACATACATACATACATACATACATACATACATACATACATACATGTCACGGCTGCTGTCTGCCTTGTTATAAGAAGTCTGAAATAAGGCATATAACCCGAAGATAACTCCAATATAACTCCAATATATCCCTTATATAACCCCGATATACCCCAAATATAACCCCAATGAAAACCCCAGCAAGCCTTCTTCGGAATGGATGCAACGATCATCTCTGAGGGCACCTGAAGGTTGTGTAGGGATACCGGGGCTTCCCAGCTCAATAGTAATTTAGGGTCCAGGGTTTAGGGTTTGGGGTTCAGGGTTTAGTGTTCAGAACATTGAGGTAAGTAGCCTGCTCAAATGATGAGTCTGTAGCTCAAGCGCTGAAGAACGGATCCATACCGCAAGTGACAATCAAGAAGGGAGCGCAAAAGGAATCAGGAAACAACAAATGAGTTCACCGCCGAAATGCCAATCGGAAAGATGGGGGTGTCCTGGCGAAACAATGACAAGCAGCTGCCACGGCTGTAGCCATTCACTTACCAAAAGCTGCAGCATAATCCCTGTATAACCCATTATGATAGTTTCCATTTCATTTTCCATTATCCCTATATAACCCATTATAGTAGTTTCAAGTCCTCATGTTGGTCTGACAACAGCCAAGGCAGAAACCACAATTGCAAAGGATTTTATGGCAAACGATGGGACTAGACATGAAGAAACAGCATCCGCACTAGCCCAAAAAAGGGACCCCATTAATAATTTCAGTATTACGTACTACTACTATAGTTATTACTGTTATAGGCATTACTAGTATTGTTACTACTATTATAGTTGTTTCTACTATAGTTATAAGTACTATTGTTGTTGCCATAATTGTTATCGGTCTTATTCGAGCCCAGACAAGGAAATGCGAGGCGTCCTTCTGGTAGACAAGGATCCTGCCTGGCCTTCTCGAGGCGAATCTCTTATCCCACGCAGAGACACGTAGAACTCAAAAGTATAATCCATTCCCCCTAATATCAAACCACCTCTTAAAGAGGGGGGGAGGGGTGGGGACGTTGAATAGCAGGGGGAAAGAATTATAGCTTCTGAAAAAATGATTCCATGTGATTCCACTCATACAGCTCCAAGAGATGAAATTTCATCTGATTCTGATTCTGTTAAAGGAGACGAAAATATAGTTGCACCGCCTTGTCGACACATGCACGCGTTTCATGTGAAAGGTATGATTTTGGATGATTTGTAGGTTCGGAAAGCTGTGCGAGTATCGTGATTGCAGAGGTTGCAAATCTGGCTCAACCCTAACATAACCCTAATATAACCCGAATATAACTCCTATATAACCCTAATATAACCCCAAAATACCCCAAATATAACCCCAATGAAAACCCCAATATAACCCCAATGTACCGCTTTGAGGCAGTGGATGGGAAATTGCAGCTCAGCTCCCAGTTGAGGGCCCCTGGCCAAGCCCTCACATGAGTAATGCTTTTTTTGGTGGTTTAACCTAGTAAGATTGTATTCCATATAACATTCTATACCCCAAAAGGAGGATATAATCTTACTCTATATGGGTAGTATCCCCAAATTAAATACTACTCACATGAATGTTAATGCAACGTGGGCGTCAGACCAGGCGCAGAAGACCAAATGCAAGCAGTTTACGTGCGAAGGAGATATCCCCCCTTGTCCTGCCTATAATCCCCGTGCATATATATATATAGCAAAAAAAGTATCCCTATAGTACCAAACCTGATATTACCATGGCGACCTGGACGTCTTGCAAATCCCTGAAGCTCTGCAGCACTACCCACTATGGGCACCTGTGGAAATGGATACAGCTGGCGCTATCATCGGTGCTAAACCTGGGCAGGACAGTGCGATTGAATGGTGACAAAAGCATTCCAACAGAATCGGCACTGGTTTTGCTGAGATTTGTGCGGCTGAGGGTTGATGCTGGCTGCCTGGGACGATTTGGGACCATCAGTCTTCGCTGCCAAGCTCAAAAAGACTCTGGTCACTATTCCTAATGCCAAGAACATGAAGTATGCGAAAGTTTCGAGCAAAACTCTGTACTAGCGCCTTCGCGCATTCATTCGCGGCCAGTAGGACAGCAGCTCGCATCGTAGATGATCATAGACAGATCATGAGGGTGGGTCATGCATACAACATGCAAGGCCTTAACACTCTGACCAGGAAAACACAACTGTCACCAAACCTCATCATTCACCGTTGCGGAGGGGCCTTTTGTTGTTCATTCATGCATTGCTGGGTTGCTCTTCCATACAGCTGCATCACCAGGGACTAATACGTCCAGCAGATGGAAGCAAATCATTCATTTCCTACCAAAGCTGCATCTCGCGGACAGCTCCATTTGCCCTTCCAGCACAAAGAAGGCCACGCAAGCTTGCCAAACAAAAGGCAAGCTTTGCTTGAACTTTGTCCGACTTGCCCATGACAGCTTCAAGCCGGAATGCTTGGCAAAGCAACGCTTGGCAAAATGCACTAGTAGTAACAGTGAAGGTAAATGTAATGGGGATAGTTATACTAAGAGGAATGGTAAGAGTAATGGTAACTCTGGAAAATTTTGATGGTCAGCAACGGTCGACTCTCAGCGTTGGTTTGACCAGGGATTCCAACTGCTATGCATCTTTACACCTGGGGCAGGTGCGCCTTGTGTAGGAAGCATTAAAGCTTGCTCGTCACAGGCGCACCATGTGCTGGAAGACATAATCGCTCTGACATATGCAGGAGGCTCTGTAGCCTTGTCTGCTGGAGGCGCTTTGCAGACCCCACGCGACAAACCATGAGGGGCGATCGAAATCTGGCCCTCAACTTGATCGTGGCGAGCACTGAGTTGATCAGCTCAAACCTGTGTGAATTAGGGACCGGACTCAGCAACACAAGATTGTGAAGAGGCCCATGCCCAGCTTGCACTGTTTCTTGTGTGAAACTTGTTCAAAATGCCCGACTGCTGCGGGTAAACTCCACAAAACCAGGACACAGGCGTCGCTTGCGCCCGGTCACCAAGAAAGATTGCTGCGTAGAGCAGGGCTGCAGCAGGTGTTTACTGAAGAACAAAAGATGCGCACAATCATGGAAGTGATTGGAACATGATTCGATCATATTCACCTAGCCGCATGGAACTCAACTCAGGTAAGACCCTGATGAAAATTGCTCAACGCGAGACCTGCCAACCACATTGCTTGTACATCATGATTTCTCTGAAATATGGGCAGGCACCAAGAAAAAGTGAGGGCCCCCCGGGCCTCTGTGCATCTGTGCATCTGAATGAACCTTGAGTGAGAGGACAGCTGCTGTAATGTCTGAGGCAACACGCTTCTTTTGCAGAAACTGACTGCGCAATCAAGCCGCCGGCAAACAAGACTCACAAAGACTGGGTCGGAATTGCCTGACAAAACATGGCGGACTACGGCATGAGCAATCATTCAGACATGAATAAACTGCAGTTCTGCGGGGAACCAGCCTTGACCTCTGACGGCACTTTGTCGCCCCGCATCATCTCCATAAACTCCTGGCGGGGAAGCAGACAGTCGATGCCTCTGCGGCTGTGAGTGAAAGCTAGAGCTGTCGGATCTTCAAGTACTGCAATGTCGTACGTCCAGCACGGGAAAATATTGCACTTGCTCCGCCGGAAGCATAGATGAGCAACATCCACATATCCATACATCGAAAGAAGAACGTCAGCCTTCAGATGCGTCTGTTTCAGCCAAAACCGCACCAAAAAGTTGCGCCCATTGCTGTCCGTGCGTTAGATTGCATTCCTAGAGCAAGTCGATTGCGAACTTGAGGTTGGGAAGCGTAACTCCGCCCGACAAACTATCTAAAGCATTGCAAAGGCTCGCCTCCTCGGAAGCCGTCTTCGAACAAAGCGTTAAATTTGTCTTCGCGTCCCTACACATGGCCACGCTCACCCCACCAAACAATGGGATTTGAATCAAGGCTGCGTGCCCATTTCCAAACATTACCTTTTTTGATAAATGTCCATGTCTCCTACTACATGTCCTGACAACTGCCAGCGTTTTCAGGACAATGGCCCCTGAGGGTCCTCAAAATCAATGGATCCATCGCCGTTGACATCCACCGCCTGCCATGAGCACTTTAAGCCTTGAAGCTACCGCACGGACAGTTCCAGCCGCTTTGCCATTGCAAGCAGCATGTCGCCAGAGGACGCTCAAAACTGGGTATCAAAAACCAGGGGCCACCTTCAGGATGTCCTCAGAGGTCTTGCTGCTCAAGGCCTGCACACACTGCAACGCTGCATCCCTTGCTCCCTCAAATGCATGTCGTGAACAGCTTGCCGTGGGAAAAGACGCGCGAACTATGGCGACCGCCTCGTCCACGCTACCGTTGTCGAGGATGGTCTTAAGCTCCTAGCTTGTGCGAAGCTCAGGCGGGGAGCCATCAAAAAGCCTCTTGTACCGAAAACTTCTGTCTCAATGCGACAACCTTTGAGGACTGGCCAAGGGTAAAAGTGCGATGCATAGCTAGTGATTTGCCTCCAACGTGATTTGGCCATCTCCGTCTTGGTCAAAAACACCTCAGTGAAAGGAAATAAATGAATACCAACAGACAATGGCCAAACTTGTGACAAGGAAGCCCTTGGAACTCTGAGCGTCAGAGCTGAACGCATTGTAGCAAACATCCTCCTGCAAGTAGCACTTCCTGGCATGGCGAAGGCAGATGTCTTCCCAATGCGATCTGGCTTGTCATAGCCGCAAGGCAGTCTTTTGTGGAATGACAATCATGAAGATCCGGGTCTGTGTATAAATCTCGCAGATGTACCGATCCAGCGTAGCAGCCAGGAACTCTGTGTAATCGATCATACCACTGCCGTCCGCGTCCACACCTGCCCCAGAACAACATGCCGCGAACAACACACTATGGCAACTTCTGGATCCTACAAGCCGACGGAAATCGTTCAAACCTAGGCTTGTCAAACACAGATTCAAGACATGCATGCCTGTTCACATGTATTCAAAGTGTTTGGTCTGCTTGGCCTCCTAGCATCTCCAGTCCAGGAAGGCCCTCTCAGACTGCTACACATTTTTACGTCCGAGATGCTGAGTACATTTTTTTTGTCAATGAGAGAACGTGCCAAGATGAAAATCCGAAGAGAAGAAATTGCCTTCGATGATGGCATCGAGGTCCACTTTGGACAACAACTCGCCCAAGCTCGCCTTGGCCATGCCATCCTCAGCCGAAACGCGGGGAAGATCAGGACACGGAGCGCGGGAGGCTTGGGTAGCCCCCAATTGCCACGTTCTGCTTTTCTGCTGAAGGACTGCTCCACGATTATCTATGATAGAGTTCAAGGATCTTGAATCTCGTTCCCTCCTTCCTGAATGATTGCAAGCAGCCCAGCTTAGGCTTGGCACCTGAAGCTCCTCCGCTGTGAGGCAGCCGTCACCGTTAGCGTCCAGCGCCTCGAAGGTCTGCCGCAGGGCCTCCGGAGACAGCCCATGTTCCACTTCACCGCGCCTTTCAGTGATACCGACCCTACAAAAAAGCTAGCTGAATCATGAATAGAACGAATAGAAGTCTAGGAGTGGCGCCGGCAGTAGCAGTAACAGTACTAGCAGTACTAGCGCAGCAGTACAGTAGTCGTCGTCATACAAAAACATCATACTAAGAGGGCACAAGTAAGAATCGTAGTAATAGTCGTAGCAGTAGTAATGGCAGTAGCAGAAACCACTCCAGTAGCAGTAGCAGCAACGGCCAATATTAACAACCGCAATTGGGGGCAGCATTAGCATCAGCGAATGAATGATAGGCACACATAGAGTGCCGATGAAAGCTCTGGCCTTGATCTTCTCCTCGCTAAGCTGCCCTGCAATGATCTGCAGTGCAGCCTGCAAAACTGAATTAGAGCTAGCTACCAGTCCATTTGAGCAGCTCCCTTCCGCATCAACAAGGCTTTGCTTCATAAAGCAAACTTGTCAACAGCGACCAGCTCAGTGAAGCAACACCCCTGCGGATCCATGCAAGCCTTCTTCATCTTATGCTGGTTCTGGAATGCTCGGAGGTTCTCCATGATACCCGCCTGCCGTGTCGCTTGTTTAAACTCTTCGGATGTTGCGCCCTAGTCAAGGTGTGGAAAGTGGTCTCAATGAAATGGAGGTATGCTATTTTGGTTAGCTCAGGTAGTGAGAAGACCACAACTCGGCCGCTTGAAGCAGTTTCATAGGCTTGGCTAGGCGAGCGCAACATTACGTACAGTAGGCGGTGCTTTGCCCTAAAAAAATGCATCAGTAGCGATGGGGAGTTGCACATGCTTTTCCAGCCCGAAACTTCTGCTTCCAAGCTCAAGCCCGCTCTCCAACCTGTAGTGACACCGTGGTTGACCTCGGGGCTCGGCACCTTGGCACAGCTGCTAGAACTTGCATACCCCATCCGTGGCGATTTTCTGGCAATACCGCATATACTCCATTTGCAGATGTTGCTGTTTTCATGATGCTCCAGCCGCAGAGAAAGCTATGCGGTTGGCACGTCTTCCAGGCAGCTTTGCTGGCCTTCGACGGCACTGCATTAGCGTCCTGTGAAGCTCGACATTGCGATTAGCAAGGCGAGCGACACAGTCGAAGTAACTTTGCAGAAGGGATGTGTTGATGTCAGTGTGGCTTGTAAAGTTATTGCTTGTTTTCGTGCCCGTACTTTGATTGAAATGCCAGAAGTTGAGCCCTAGCTGGTCTCACACCGCTGCCTCCTCATTTGCTCACTTCGAGCTGGGGTGCTGCCGCCTGGCATCACTCGGGGGCTGATTTACCAAAACAGGTATCGCTGCCACGCCTCGTGCTCATTGCCGTCAGTGAGCGCTTCAAGGATTGCGTCGTCTTCGTCGGACCTGCGGGACCTGCAGATGAACAGTCTTTGAGGCCTGTGTTCGCCATGAGACAGGACGAGACATCACGACAAACTCAACACCTACCCTTGTGTTGCGCTGGCCTGGGTACAGTGCCTGGCCCTCCAGCTTCCTCACGGTTCAGTACCAGCATCAAAGCCCCATCTGACAAGGGGTGTGCAGCACGCACCTCATCCAATCCGACGAGTGGTTCTGGTACTTCAGAATCTGCAGAAATCCACTGCAATCCCACAGCTAGAATTTTATTCTACTTCACAGAATCTTGGCAGTCTCCGGCAAGCTGTGGATCCTGTCTCTGTGAAGTGTCACACCTCGCCTCAACAGGTGCTGAAGACGAGCATGCTGCTATCGAGGAGGCCTGCAAGGCTTTTACGCGGCTTGCTGAAAGCAACGCACTCTCTTACTCTGGTCCTCATCATTTGGCCGAGCAATGGCCAAATCAGAGGCAGCCATTGGCAGGTGAGGCCTGCAGTGTGCCAGTGCAGGCTCGTTCGCAGCTGCGTTTGCTTTTAGTCTGAGGAAGTCACAGGCTTGGCTCCAGCTGTGAGAGCCGGGTTGGGCCCACACCTGGCAGAATGGCAGCAATCTGAGAGACAACGGCACCCCACCTCTGAGCACCAGGCCAGTGACGAGGCTTGCGATAGCACTGCAATGGGATTCCCTCACACAGTGAAGTTTGACCCTCCAAATGGCGAGCTTCGACACTCAAGTTCATGTAAGCGCCTCGGGGACGTGACCATCTTAACTTCTACGTATGAAGGATAGCGCCTCAAGCAAGCGCTTTGTGCTGCACAGGCTTCATAGCGCGCGCAGCATTGCACAAGCATTCAGAGCAACTGCTGCTGGAATCCTGGGAGCCGAGCACCAGCTCGAAGCGCCCGAGCTTGCCAAGTCTTTTTCTGGTCCTCGGGACATGAAGCAAAAATCTTGCATTAAAATCTGCTTGGGTGTTCCAGGTGGCAGGCTTCGGCGGGTTTTCTGTGCGCTTCCGGACGTACTCCAACTCCTCGAAAGACTTCCTTCGCCAGGAGCCAAACTCAGATGATAATTATAGGGTTTAGGGCCCTGCATGGAGAATCAAATGGAAATTTGAATTGAACGCAGCTCGAGCGTGCTCTGAGCATGGCGGGCACTTCTGACCCTTCACTCCCGGTGAGACAGCAATTGACGTGTTAGCCATCGTCTGCGGCCCAAAAACCAAGTAAACACAAGAACAGCAGAGACCCTACGCAATTAAACGGCAGAATCACTCGTCCTTTTGCTCCAAAGCAGCTACGCGCTTAGCTCTGAGCTGCTCCGTCGCTGGGATCCAGTCGCAAGCACATGAGGCCCGTAGGTCTTCCACTGAGGCCGAGCATCTGCACTCTACTCAGATTCCACGACCTGGCATGAAGGGCAGAGAGATTTAGCCATGCCAAGGCTTGAGCAGTCAGTCTTACTGACTCGAGGCATCGCACATTGCCTTCTTTTGGTGCTAGGCTGCGCTAGTCTTGCTCAAGAAAGGGGTCTGCAAGGCGCCTTTGACGTCCTACGGCCTTGGCGTGAGAAATCTCCTGGCCAGCAGTGCCGGGCCTCAGGCAGTGCCGCTAACGGTTGTAACTCTGTGACCAGTGGCCTCTCCAGCTTGAATCCCAGCTCTGACCGCCTCCCTCCGAGTTCCAGGATTGCTGACGCCATCCGTCCCAGGTCCAGGCATCTCCCCACAGTTGTGTTTGACCAGGACACGTTTGCCATCCTGGGCAATGATCAGCCTGGCCATAAGCTCCATCTTCCTGGCGGTATGGTCGTATATGGCCTTGATGGACGTGGCAATGAGCATGAAGCGGTGTCGGTCCTCCACCAGCTCGCTGAGTGGTGGGTGATCCCACATCTTCCCGAACAAAGCTGAGAGAGCGCCTTGCAGCTTGGAGGCTGGGTCAAGAACCGTGTACGTGCTACCCTCGCCCGTAGCCACTGCCACGAGCCCGTTCTCGCCAGCTACCAACCTTGCCGTAGCGATAGCCTCCCAGGCGACGCCCTTCTCTGTCACCGCGAGTTTGATGCCAGCGAAGAGCGGCGGCGGTGCTTGAAGCACCTTCATGCGCTTGGCCCATACCGGCAGCAGTTCATCATACTCTAGGCCCCCAAAAAGCATGTGCTGGGTCAGGACATGCATCCTACATAGCACCCGAAGCCATTCCTGGACTTCATACGACTTCAGGGCAGAGCCTCGCTGACCGGTGGCTGGTCCGGCTTTGGGGGTTGATACCCGCCCGGGTCAGAGGAAGGGATGCCTGTGTCATCCAGGTCCTCTTGTCTTGCCTGAAAGAGAGAAACCTGGGGAAGCCTAGGCTTGGGAGGGGTGGCTCCTTTGGCATCGCTGTGGAGTTCGGCAGTGGAGGGGGAGGCTTGAATACGACTTTGGGCCCTGGCTGGGGGGTTTCCAGCACTGAGGTAAGGTGAAGACTGGCGGTCTTGACTTCGGGGCCTTGGGGACCTGGGCTTTGGGTTCTGCGTTTCTTCGGAGGAGGCGGAGTTGGCGGTAGAGCTCGTCCTGAAGGTAGGGTTGTCGACGGCGAAGCTTCTTGGCATTCTGCGTCTCTCTTCGCAAGGTCGGTTGTGGGACTTGGTGCTGAGGGTTCCTGAGTCCTCACCGCTGCCCCTCCTAGCAGGAGGGCCTTGCCAATGACGAGCTCGCAGTAGTAGCCCACAGACTCCCTCGTCAGACACGACATGTCAACCTAAATCTTGAGTCTTGAGCCTGCAATCTGAAACACGCACAATCAGAGGACTGGCACATGGATCAAGAAGTAGGACTCTTCAGTTGAGTTTTGGCTAACTGCACTGTCTGACGGCTCTGACGCTGTGGCCACACATGAGTGGAAAAGAAAATGGAAAATGAAATGGAAACTGGGATTATAGGGTAGTTCATAGGGATTATTTGAGTAGTAAGCACTGGGCGAGCTTATCAAGGCCAAGGTGGGTCCTTTCCCAAAGCGCCCAGCTACTTTTAGGGTCGTGGGGACTTAGTAACTGGGTTCATCTTTGTGATACCTGGGGTTATGATATGGCTTGTAACGGTTCTAAGTATACTTACTAAGTCCCTCTGACCCCCCCAGGTAGAGGCAGTCTCACTTTCATAAATGACTGCTGTGCCTGGCCCAAATGAGCTCTCCCTGCACCCGGGTGTACTCCGACGAGATGCCTCAGGCAGTGCCGCACTGCTTTGCTTTAGATTTTAGGCTTTCGGTGTTGTTGGTTTTTTATTTTTTTATTTTTTTTAAGCGCTCCTTTTATCCTCCTGCACGGGTTGAGGGTTTTGGGTTAAGGGTTTAGCTTTTAGGGTCTAGGGTTTAGGTCACGAGATCGCTGAATTGCTTATACACTGCGACAGGGGACATGTTGCTGCTGTGAAACTTAACTATTCAAAGAATGAAGAACTAAATGTTTCTGTCAATGTTGTTCTCGGCTGATATATCCCTATGAATCCCAAGTGTCCATGACATGTTCTTCCACTGTCGAGATACTATCCCTACATAGCCCTGTATCATCTCTCTGTATGGTACAGTAGTATCCGTTTCATTTTCCATGTACTTTTCCAGTTGTCTCTCTGTTATTGGGGATGATATGCCTAAACCCTAAACCCGAAATCCGAAATGGTAGTTTCCAGTTTCTCTTCCATTCCCCAATATATCCTCATATAATCCCTACATAAATCATACAATCCCTATCTAATCCGTGTATGATCCCTAATCCATATCAAAGTCTCATTGGGCTCATGTAAGGTCTCGTGTAAGGCTTTGATAATACCTAAACATGGAGAAGCAGAAGGAAAAGAAGATGGAAAACGACATTGAAACCCCAGGTCATACCCCTTGGGATATTTTCTCAAGAATGGAGACTCAAATGGAAAAGCAAATTCAAAATGAAATGGACGCTGGGGATGGATAGGCACTGCAGCATCAGCGTTTCACTGCCCCAACGCGCTTAGGGAATGCAGAGGTTCACCACACCTGCCTTTACTACCAGTGGCATGCTCGGATATTATTGGCCAGCTGGGTTGTACATAACTGCTCTTACGTTGCATAAGCTCACGTCCTGCACTCAACCTGACCATAACTTCAATAGAAAGAATTCTCTTCTGGGTCATGCGCCTGGCAAGTTGGGCCGTCCACCAGCACCTTGTGAGACACCTGCTCAACTAAGGATTGCAGCGAGGAGTATGAAGGGTTCAAGTTTGAGAACTTCTTCTTCAGCCTGGCACTTGAGAAAAGCCGTTGCCGCGACTGGAGGTCTTCAAGATTCTAGGAGTTACTCCATCTAGGAAAATAGGGATCTGACAACATTGTGGGTAGGCAACCTGTCGCCGCAAAAACTCCAGTATAGTTGCTCCGAACACGGCAAGTTGCAGTTTTCAGAGAGTAGGGCTGCAACTTCCCACTTGTCACTTGTCTGTGTAGCATGGCATGAAGCAGCACCTTCCTCTGGCATGGCAGCGTGAGGCTAAGTGGAGCTGGGCAGATACGGTGCAAGCTGCTGTTGGCAAGCTTCAATTCTTACGTGCAACCAGCCTCTCTCTACTGCTAGTAGGCTTGTCAACTTGTATCTGGTCTGAGCTAAAGCTGAAGCCAAACATGCCAAGTCAACAGACACGCAACTGCTCAACTGTGAGACCACAGCAAGACATCACGCAAAGTGATGCTGTCAGGATGCGACATGCTGCCCACTGTGGCGCGGACCTGATCCATTCGTGCTGCAGTGCCTTGGCAATACATACGACTGTCTGGCGGATTCAATGCAAAGCCACACCGGCATTGCGCGGCTCTGCATGGCCTGCTCCGCTGTGAAGCGTTCGGCAGGGTCAAACTTCAGCAACATCTTGATCAGCGCCTGCCGTAGAGAAGCATCCTATAAACATGCTCAGGTCCTGAGATCTGAGAGCCCTCGGCCACCTTTGCATCATCCGAGACATTTCTCCAATCCTGCTGGATATTTTCAAGCGTCAAGTGTCTCGTCGCAGACATGTCGCGCCACTAAAATGGCGTTGGCCAGCATTGCCAACAGATCCCCCTACCTATAGACACTGAATGACTCGGACGTGCCGGGCCCTGCAATAGGATAACTTCAACGCGATCTTGGCAAAATTCGCAAGCATTGGAGATGTGTACAAGCTGTCCTTTGGATCAAAAGTGAAAATGCCGGTCTTGACCTTGTGGAGCACCTGAGCATCTCTCGCAACAATCGGTGTTTGCAAGATGCCCGAAAAGCCTCGTGGTCTGTCTTCCCATAGAACGGAGGATATCCGCACAGCATGGTAAACCTGGGCAGGGTCGAAGCAGCACTGCTTGTGCCTCTACGGACTTTAACTTGGGTCGCGGCATTATCACTCCACAACTCCACAAGTCGCATGCTTTGTCGTACTTTCCTTGGAGTACCTCACGGATCGCGACATTGTCACAGCTAATTCTAGCTGCATAACACTACGATTGCACACAAATGGTACTTTCCCAAAATGGGGGGACCCCAATATAGACCCCCAAATACTATAATCTTTATTATGGGGACCCTCAAAAAGGTACACCTAATTTTGGGAAGCCCCCAAATGTTGCCGGGAGATCAAGCTGGTGAGCCTGCGGTGCTACGTAGTACGGTGTGCCAGCTTTCGTGGACATGACCTGCTGACAAAGGATGATATTGGGGTAATGGAAATGGAAACTGCTATATTACATAAGGTTATATAGGGGTATATAAGGCTTTATAGGGTTTCTATTGGGATAACGGAAAATAAAATGGAAACTGCTATATTGCATAGGGTTATATAGGGGTATATAAGGTTTTATGGGGGTTCTATTGGGATAACGGAAAATAAAATGGAAACTACTATATTACATAGGGTTATATAGGGGTTTTTAAGGTTTTATAGGGGTCCTATTGGGATAATGGAAAATAAAATGGAAACTAGTATAATGGAGAATCAAATGGAAAAGAACATGGAAAATGAAATGGAAACTGGGATTGTAAGTATAAGCCCAGAGGACCACTTGGTCGGCTCTACGGGATTGATAGAGCGAGGCAGACAACACGTGCAGCTTCTGCGCAAACATCCTCACAATGCCTTGCCGTCAGTGACCACGCTGGAAAGACCAAAATCCTTAGCAACAAGCCCGCCGCCGCGCTAGCGGGTCACTCAAAGGAATAAATCAAGCTGTGTGCATGAAGACAAGATCACGTGTACAAGGTTTGGGGATTCCAAGCACCCGGCTATCAGCTTCAGGACATTCTTGTCGATAGAGTCCTGTCTTCTTCTTGGGTAGTTACTGGGTGGTTTTGAATACTTGTTGATTGCATCCTCCATGTTATCTGTTCTCGAAACCAATTCATGAATCCGCGTGGGCACCGTAGCACTTGCATCGACAGGTAGCAGCGTCAGTAGCCGACGGACTGTGCGATTCACGATTTCCAAGAATCCAAGTATCTTAGTTCGCGTCGGCCTCTGGCCAACAGGCGTTCATGTTCTCCCTCTCCCCTCCCCCACCAGCAATCCCTTTTGCCGGAGCAAGCACACTCAACATATCAGGTTGCCACTAGAAAACTCCGAGAAAGCATGTGCTAGGCCCATGTGGGAAGCCTCTGGCAAGCCATGGGAAGGCTCTCCTGTACGCTTCAACCTTTTTTGCAGAACCTGACATTGCTTACCCCTCCCAAACCAAGTGGTGAGAAGCCTCTATGCTCATCATGCTGTACATTTCGTGTAAACATGCCTGAAATGCAATTTTCTCGCACGAATTTGCCCCTGAATAGGATCCAAGGGCCCCTTTCTCGGCTGATTCCTGAAACCCCGCGAACAACGATGTGTTTACACAGTAAGTTTTGTCTTGTGCGCATGAAGTCACGATATTGGCTTGTGACATCAATGGGCTGTGGCTTTGCGTGCTATCATCGAGAACCAGAAGTCGACGGTTGTTCCGGTTGCATCTGTTTGCCTGCCTTTGGGAATGTTAAGTTTGCACAACTCAACCTCGCATGTTTCCCACCTCGCGGCCCCCAAACCATTTTGGGGATGCTCCCTGCTATGACTAGACGGAATCATGAGCCTCTCAACCTGTGCGATTGCAGCAACGACTGCGAATCAGATCTATGGCGGCGGCGGTGGCGGCGCTAATGCTTGCAACGCTGCCAACGGATGAGCATCCGAAGCGGGATGTTTGGTCAATGCTCGCCGGCAGCTACGACCAGCAGAATGCCTCCACACCCAAAGCCGTATTTCAGACACCATGCTGCACCACAACAGTCTGCACAGTTCATGGCAAGCCCACTCAACGGCTCCTTTGTGAGGAACCTCAGAGACATGCCATTCAAATTCCCAGCATAAAAGCACAATTCCCAGCGAGCATGACTGGTGGATATGCTGATTCAGGTACCGTAATCTGAAGTGACCAAACCAGCAGCTCTCCATGATAAGCCACTCACACGGTTCACAGAATTTCTTTCCGGTGGAGCGGTAGCTAGAGGAAATCTTGCATGGTCTTGTATGACAACAAACGAAACAACAGAGGGAACACTTCCGTACAACAATTTTGGATTTGCCTATGGCATAGTGGTGCAAAATCATGTCCCTGCTACGGCCGTTTCCTCCAGCAACAGACACACGAATGGAACTGCTGATGCTGCCCGCCCTGACCGTATCTGGTCCCATCCCTGCAGCCCGGCAGCAAAAAGTTTTCTGGCTTGAGATCTCGGTGGCCTGAGCTCTTGCTGCATGCAAGTAGACCAGCCGTGCTAGCTGCTAGACACTAGCCGCTAGCAGCAATCGCAGAAAAAAACTGCCCACTTAGAGCGTGGCAGACGTCCATCCTTGGCTTCCGGGCAAGATAGCAATTGGAAGCATAACAGGAACATCTAGCCGCAATCGGTCTTTAAGTAAGGCTGACAAAGCTATATCTTAAACGAGTCACTTGTGCATGTAGAAGATCGCATGCAGAATATGGGACCTGGCAAAGTGCGACACTCTAGATTGCACAGAGACTTGGTAGCACCTCTCCCCAAACACACACAGTGATAAGAAGTAGACGGCGGCACACCACAATGGCACCATCCACCTCCCTGAAGTGGCCAGCCTCGACTCCAAAGTTGCACCGAATCCTACAAGTTTAGGATGTAGAGTTTAGGCTTTAGGGTCTAAGGCCAAGTGCCCTTGCATAGGGTTTGAGGATGTCACCCCTTATAATGGAGAATCAAACGGAAAAGAAAGTAGAAAATGATTGAGGATGTCACCCCTTATAATGGAGAATCAAACGGAAAAGAAAGTAGAAAATGAAATGGAAACCTTAGCTCCCGTTAAGGGGTACATAGAGGGTATATCATATAGATCGGTATACAAAAAAGAACATAGAAATGGAAGCTGGGCTTATACTGCTTTAGCTGTTCTGGGCCGAGCCGCTTCGATGATCCGGTCAAAAAGTTCTCCACCCGAGCAGAGCTCCATGACCAAGTAGATGTGTCGTCCTTGCTCAAACGGGCGGAATATCAGCTTCAATCCCCTGCAGTATCAGTTTTTTGTGTGTTGAGACGCCATCTCTTGCTATCCACTCCTCCAACACAAGCAGGTCTTGAACTCTGAGAGTCCAACTATCTTCAAAGGTTTCGAAGAGCTTGATGATGTTGGGATGGTCCATGACCTGAAATCTGCATGCAAAGCGCATCTGCTGCATGCTCCCCACTCTCAGCCTTCATAATGGCAACTTCCTGCTTGAAGCGGCTCACATTCTTCATCTGTCCCTGTCAGCGACTGTGTGCTACACCCGTGTTGCGGCTCTTAAGTGACGCGACAGAGAGACGCTAACCGGCGATGCTAGCCACCCTTATTAAGCTACCAGAGCCAAGGTGATGAACTTTGCAGGTCTGTCCAGCCCCGTAGAACGTCCGCACTGCAGGCCACAATTCAAAGTACAACTACGCATCCATGCAAAGCACCCTCGTCTGAATGCCGACCTTGGACATGGTCTTGATGGCACGGACCACCCCAGTTTGTTTGTGCCTTGGCCCAACTTTGCAGTGTGGGGAAGTCAGCCGTTGCCGTGGACAGTGCACGGGGCCGGACCAACCGACGGTTAGCACACTGCAACTGACTGAGGCTATGGCACAGCGCTGGACACAGACCCATAAGTTCCTTCACCAAGCTTTCTTGCCTGCAAGAAGCATCCTCAAGATCCCATGTACTCTTGCGCATAATATCAGCTAAGGCCTCGATTCTGTAGATGTCCCTCACATCCCTTGGCAGGAAGCAGGCCAGAAGAAAGAGATTGCTGCGCTAAGCATCCAGACTCTGACCAGGAAACCCATTACTTCTTTGCTTGCCCAAGGCGCCCTGAATGGTTCAGAATCAGCTGCGCCCGAGAAAGTGCATCCTGAGTTCATGGTGAGTCCGAAGGAGGTCTGTACCATCATACGCAAGCTCTGAGAAGCAGACAGCTTTGGAAGACTTCTGTCCAGATCTGGAGCACAGCTAGTAATTAACAGTTGCTGATCTCAAACCATGGCATGAACAGGTTGTAGAATCAACCAAGCTCCCCGCACGCCATGTAGCATTGTCGGAAGATCCTGCTTCCTTGGCGCTATGCCGTATGCCGCTGTCAACATAACAAGCTGTTCCGGACTTGGAAGCAGAGCGGCACAAAAGCTGCGACAGTACTGGAAGCAATAACTGGGACACTACCTCCAAAAAGTTGCCATTCCAAAAGAGCAACCCAACAGGTGTTGTTCTGCAATGCTCCTCGCAATAAAAGCCAATAACTAGGCGTAAGCAAAAGCAGCTTGGGCAAAGTGCTTGAGAGCAACCGCCTGAGCTGCGAAGCCGCAGCAAACACTTGCGCTGCCAATGGATTGATTAGGGTTATAGTAGGGTTATATTGGGATAATGGAAAAGAAAATGGAAACTACTGTAATGGGCTTAGGGTTTAGGGTTTAGGGTTTAGGGTTTAGGATTCAAAGTTCCAAAGAGCAGTAGCTTCCAATTCCTGTTTCCAACATATCCTTTATGAGTGCATGTTCTCGCACCGGTGAGGCCGCCTGTTCCAGCGACTGTGCCTAAAGTAAGCTTGCCTTGGCAACACTTGTTCTCAAAAAGCATCTGCACAGGGTGGCCAGGTGATCGGCGCCAAATACAAATTTTATTTGCAATCTAGGAGGCCCAGGGAAGCACAAGGAGCCTTAGAATTGGGGGTCAGAAATTCTGAGGCTGTGGTCGAATTTTCCAGGTTTCATGTAAACTCCATCCAGGGCAGCAGTCAAGCCGCGAATCTGTTCCATCCCGTGTATGCTCCAAAGATCATGCAAGCAAAGAAAAAAGAAGCCGGTGAAGAACATGAGTTTTCAAGTCGTGGAGGCATGGCTTCCCCCGTGTAGCTTTTTTGCCTCAAGAACCGTGGCACTTCCAACAAGCTACAAGTATACCATCGAGGAAAGTTGTGCTCCTCCTGTCATCAGTTTCACCATCTGACCAACCCGGCCAGGCCCGGCTAAGGCCAGCTGTAGACATCCATTTGATATTCAGTGTGCAAAACAAGAGTGCAATCCCAAGCAAGTATACACTCCCCATACTTCACCTTCGCCAAAGCCCAAACACCCTAGGTCCACCACTTGAGCAAAGTGTAGTCCCTGCTCACCAGCCATGTACATTAAGAAAGGGTTTTGGAGCACGCAAGGGCCTGGAGGCACAAGCAACGAAAACGTTGTACGAAAGGAAGTCAGGAGAAATGCCTCTGCTTTCTTTTCCTTTCCTTTAGGGTTTAGGGTTTAGGGTTTAGGGCTTTTCCTGCTTCTTTGCCATAAAGTCTGTGGGCTATGCACACCCTGAGATTGCCCTACGCGTTCAAGAAGCCCTTTTCGCCCCGTTCACCTCGAGTTCACAGATTGAACTTTGGCAATGAAATCCCTATATTCCCCCAGTCTCCATTTCATTTTCCATGTGATTCTACATTATAGAGGGCTTTATAAACCCTAAACCCTAAACCCCAATATAGTAACTTAAATTAAGTTTTGAGACATGAAACCTCCGGAAATTGAGGCTATGGCTTTCGCTTGCCGCGGGCATCCTGACCGAAGCTCCCCTCGGCCCAGCACAGAAGGGCAGAGGGCTGAACCCCGCAATCGCATATGACCTATGCTTGCTCCCTGACCCTTAGATGAGCCGTGGATAACACAAAAATATAGGCATAATAATGATAATGAGCTATATACAAGTAACAAGAGTAATGGGCACATAGCGCAACTGCCACCTAGCTGGCAACAGATTCTGAGCACAGCGCACTTTGCTTGTGGATAACCTGGTTCTTACCGCTGCACGCCCCCATGCTGCACCTCGGGTGCAAGAAAGTAGCACAGTAGCCGGAAAAAATGCAGCATGAACATGTATGTACGACAGTCTTGCTGCAAATGCTCAATCAACGCCCATTCGCTTTCATCACGTACCTACTTTGCATCCCCATTTTCTCATCACGCATCTCATCCACAGCTTGACCTTGATCGACGTTAAGCATCCTAAGTGACATTCTTGCATTACACAGGACAAGTGTAGCCGTTTCACATGAAGCAGAGCTGTCTGCAAATGTTCCTGTGTCTACTGCCTTGGTGCTGAATTTCCAAGCCTGGTGCTCACGGGCAAGTCGCCGCCCTACACTACACAGTACGCTGAAGGCAAAAAGGCGTTCAGCAGGGCCATGGGGAGCATCCCCTGTGCTGTCGGTCAGCCCTGCATCATGACACCTGCACCAACATGCGTCAAACGGGGATTTCCCAAAAATAGGAGTACCTATTTGTAGGTCTTCATAATAAGGACTGCAGTATTTTGGGGTCCAATAAGGTCCCCTTATTTTGGGAAACTACCACATAGCGTTGTGCAAGTTGATGGCTGAGCTGAGGCTTTTGTTGCTGCCCGCGGACGTGCGCCAGGCATGGGTGCCTTGCCCCTTCGCAGGTGACAGAGGCCCTGGACATCATATGTACAAAGCGTCACGATGGAGATGATGCCCAAGGGCGGATCACAATACCCCAAAAAAGGTTAGGAAAAGCTTTAAAAAACAACGATAATATCTGGCATACCGCAACAGCATGAACCCATGACTGCTAGCGCACCGGACTTGTGAGCTTGAGAACTCGAAGCACAACCTCCTTGTGTTAATCCAAGCGTTCGAACACAAACCACCGTGGGTACACTCTATGATGAAGCCATCAAGCTCAGGTTCGGTGTGCTTGGGGAGCCGAGACCCTGAAGTCAACGCAACATGAGCGTGAAACGACCCGCTTCTCTGCGGGAAGAATGATGCACAGCACTAGGGCTGCTAGGGTGCATAGTTGCATCTTCTGGACATGCGTCATGTGTGCAAGTACCGGAAATCTGGCTCAAGGAGTCAGGGCCCGGTTTGTCGTGCCCTCTACGTCGACACGCTTCAAAAGCCTGAGGCTGAAGAACTCGACTGAGCGGCCCGTCAATGCCTAAGATTTGAGGTTGGTGTCTTGTTTGACTCTGTCGAGCTCTGCATGTGTAGTTTCCCACATGTGTGGCGATTCACATGGCCGCTGGAGGCCGCACGGCCACCAAAGCGGTTCACGTCTAGGTTTAAGCTTTGTCAAGGCCTGAAATCATGGATTCTGCATGGGTTCCGATGTAAACGCCTGATGGTCAAATGACTCACACTCAATTGTCCAGTGCAGATATCTGGAATAAAGTTCGAAGGCGCACCCTCGCACAATTCATTCTCAAATTTCATCCATGGAGGGGTTGCCCTCCTCTCCGCATCAGCATTGTGACTCTGGAGCTCATCGTAGCGTTGTAGGGACTGCAAGACTGCAATACTGATTCAGGACCTGCATGTCCAGAGCCACCGCTCAGCTTTCCTTCTCGTGCTCCTGGCAAAGTAAGGCATCTGATGAGGGAAAGCAAGTAACCAGTGGTCAGGAACGCGCATAACATGAATCTTGTTCAATAGCTTTGATCCCGAGAAATGAGTTGCTACAGACCTCACCCACTTGCAAATCTGCTCAGCAAGGTGCCCTTTTCTACAGCCCCAGGCAACAAAACTTTGTGAATGCTTCATCAAACTAGAATTTCAGGAAAGCACGTCATGATGAAAGCCAACCTCCTCCAGCATCTGGAAGACGACCACATAAAAAACAACCTTCGCAAGTAGCGATGGAAAGTTGCAGCTTACGCGCCATGCAGATTGCAGTATCACAGGCGAACAGGCCCGTGGAACCATCCGAGGTCCCGGCCAAGAGGAACATACAGACCACGAAATAGAAGTACATGTTGGTGATAATGCTTTCCGTCGGAAAGCGGGTCTCAGCCAAAGCGGACATCTTCAGTGCTGAAAAAGAGTGTTCACTGAACAGCTGTTCGCTGCGAAATCCAGATGCCAGCACAGTTAGATGGTGCTCTTAAGGCGGGGACAACTGCGTTTTGTAATATGGCTTTTATGGCCTCAGTCATCGTTCGCATGTCGCTGCAGGAACTACCACGATGAAGCTAAGTCTCCAAGTCTTTACTGCTCCCAAGGACAAGGCTCTACCGTGTGTGGCTGTGGTGCCTTTGGGTCCTGGCCGGACCTCCTCGGCTTCAGAAAGAATGCAAAGAGACAGCCAGCATGCACATCACGTTGACGTGGGCCTCTGCGATCTTCTGACTTGAGGAGCCTGGACTTGAGGCCTGCATGGGCAAACTTCACTGAAGGCCTGATAGAATTTCCAGTGAGTGTGTATGTGGAGAGGGGCAAGCCTCTGGCTGAGCAGATGGTCCCGGAGCTCCCGCACCATTTGCCTCCAGGCGGACCACACGCGGTGTTGCACTGGCAACGCTGCAAGGATGAGTGGAAACAAAGCGCTTGCGAGACTAGGCACTTGCTTCGTTTTGGAATTCCTCTTTGAGGTGCAGAAGACCTATCATTCACTGCAACGTCAGGCGGCGCGGTCCTAGTCGGCTGCATGAAGCCCATACCGTGCAGTGAATGATGAACGGCTGTCATATTCGTTTGCATGTGCGCATCAGCCATAGCAGCTCTGCCTTGGGACAAGGCTGCTACTTCAGATGAGCACGGGAGAGAGAAAGTTGTCCGCAATGCCTGGAACTAGCAACTAGCTACCTGCACGTCTAGTCCTTTGCCTTTAAATTTTCAGCAAGCTGAACTTCTGCATCTCCCAGATAATCTGCAGCAGCACCAGAGGCTGACTTTGTCAGACTGGACACCGCTCAGAGACAAAGCTGAGCATCTGGAAAAAGAATGATACGGGTGTATCCTGAGGCAGTTTCCCAGAAGCTCCTAGCGTTAACATACTGCGCAGAACATCATGGCTTGCGTGCTCTCAGGAAGCGGGTCGTTGAGGGGGCTTGATACCCTCAATTGGCAATGCTCCATGCGGCTCCAGGTGCAGGGTCCTTGGCTTCCAGTCAGGAATGGGAAAGAAAATGGAGCTACAGTAGTGGAGATTAACTGCAAGGTGGAGTACGAAATGTTGATTAAGCGTATATGGGCTTGTAATGGCTTATACAGGGGATCATATTGCACTATGTAGTCACACTTTACTACGTAGTCCACAAATTGAACAGCACTCTTCGATGAGCACCCAAAAGAAGCAGTGCAGATTCCTCCCAGTCTGCTTTTGTCTCAGTCTGTGGTCTATACTGGCATCCAACCCAACACCGGCATCAATAGACTTTGATGGCATACAGGCTGCCAGAACCAGGATTCACAGAACTGATGGCAAGGCTCACAGATTCTGGGTCCGCCGTATGCACAGGTGCCAGAGGAACCCAGGCGGGCGTCGGTGCAACCTGGCACTTGCAGCATCGCATAATCTCTTTTCAAGGTACGAGTAGTTTGGAGATCCTGCTCAGGGGCTGGGGGCAGGGCAGGTCGTCTAGATTCATTTCGCAACGCTACAAGTACCATTCTACGGTCGTGCTTCAGGCACTAGAACTGTAGCCATGTCTTCTCAATGGCCGCATGCAGTCTGACAGACGCAAAGTACACTCAACATTCCCGCCTCAGTCGGCGTCGTGACTGCTGCAGAGAGCGCCGAGGGCAAGGCACCCTGTCCACAACTCCATGGCCATCTCAAAACCAAAGTCTCAGATTCTGCATTGGGGCCACATGAGGCCGAGTCAGTGTCAGGCCTGCGTCACCTCCATTGTGGTTGCAATGGGCGGGCCGCTTGCCTGCGTTGCATCTCTTCCGGTATGCTTGCTGGACATCACGTCTGAAACCACTGCCGTAGTATTGCATGTATTGCTAGGTGCTAGGCTTGCAGACAAACTACATACAAAACTGCTTCGAACGCCTGCAGCGGCAAATTTGTCAATGTGGGATTAGCTCAACCTCAAGAAAGAACGAGAGACTACTTGAGTTGATGGCCTTCTTCTTCGGGACAGGGCTCGGTCGGCTTGGTCCTTTGAGTCTAGGACGTATCGCCACAGTACTGACACAGAACCTGTGCAAAAATCTAGCCTATTCTGGCGCACAACGCATAAACCAACTCAGCTCTTGTATTAGTAGTAGCACCGCAGCACCACCACATACTTCATCACCGCCACCCACCACGCCACCACCACCATTGCCATCACCATACTAACAAAAACACTCCTTCAGCCCTCGCCATCCCTCCTCCCACAAATACGTCAACGGGCACTGCCACCTGCACTGCCACTGCCACTACGACTACGACTGCATCTGACCAAGCCACTCCGGCCACCATCCTCATCATTGTGGGCTGCGCTGATACGCTCTTGTGCAACAACCTTGGAAAAGTCCAAGAATGCCATGTCCATAAGCTGCACGTAGAATGTACCACTAGGCAAGCGGCGGCCTCTTCACCGGTGATGAGGTCCACGCATGGCAAATCTGCCGCAACACGCCGCGTCTTCTGCTTCGACCTCTTTCTTAGCTCCTTTGCAGACAAGGTCTTGGACCGGATCAACTCGGAAGACACGATTTTGTCCTGGTCGCCCTTGGCACTGCGTTGCGTCCACTTTTCCTGGCTGCTTGTCAACCATTGGCACACACGGATGCTCAACTCAGCAGAGCTCTCCTCCACGGGGGACTTAAAACTGCCACGCTCCTCGTTGCAACATTCAGAATCCAAAACTTAAGAGAAGGTCTTTCGAAAAGACAGCCTTCTCCTCTGCAGATGGCGGAAGTCCTGCCAACAATTTCGAGCTTTCTCATGCAAGTTACCGCAACTGCCGTGCTGCAGTTTATGTCTGAGGCATGAATTACACTTGCTTTCCTAAGCACCTCAACATGGTTGTCACTTCTGCATCTTCTGAAACCTATGGATGTTCTGTCATCGGCCTCGTCTTCCTCGCCAGCCACATCATGATTTTCATAACAAAGTTTATCACCATCAGAACTCGCGGAATGTCTGACGTCTAGTCTGACGAAAAGGCCAAAGACCCGCAGGCTGTTGCCGGTGACGAGCTGCAATGCTCTACAATAAGATAAAACCAACCTTCCTTCAAGGCTGCCCTTCCTGAGAAAGCTGCGGCTTTTCAGTTGCTGTAGCTGCTGTCATCTTTGGGTTGGCATACCAACATCCTCTTTCCACTCTTCGATCTCTCAACTCTCTTTATTAATTGTCATTCATTTCCGCCATCAAAACAACCGTGCTATCCGACATGCTTAGAAGCCTGCCGCTCCGCTGAAAAGAAATGTCAGCGCCTGCGCCAGACTTCAGCGTCTTCTGGAGCTTCGCCAGCTCCTGACTGTCATTGCAGAAGCCAGCAGAGCAAAACCAGAAAGCCCAGTACAGTACAGCATTGGTTGCAATATCGAGACCCGCAATGTTGCTGCGCCCCTTCATGGTTCATCCCACCTATTGCTACAGGTGTCTCTCTATCTGCTTCTTTTGTCAAGGCAATTTAGTCCTCGGTTAGCGCCCTTTCCAGGGAGCTCTGTCGGCGCAGGAGCTCATCCATGCGGCCTTCCACTGCCTGCACACGGAAAGGAAGCAAAGATGTGGGGATGCATTTTGGCGTTCATAGCATGCTGAAAAGAATTGCAAGATCCCTTGACTTCGCCTGCAGCCTTCGGCCGACAAACTCGCTGACATCAGCAGCGGCTGGCGATGGCTCACGAGATGCAGTGCTCTTCGGTGTGTCACCACCATCCTCGGATCGCTCAAATGGTGTGGCCTGGAACGTGAATCTCTGCCGATTTGCCTGGCCTCAGTCTAGGCCTCTAGGCGCAGAGTGCAGACATGCCGAGGCTCGCTTTGCTCGCTTTGCTCACTCTGCTTCTCGAAAGAGACGGACTTGGAACTTTTCACTCCGTCCTTCGCATCAGTGCTCGCTGTGTGATCATTGCAACTGACAGGTCGGGTCAGCCATCCACTTCTGTCCTCTCCCTTCTCTGCCTTTGGCTTTGTAGAACTCGGCACACCAGGCCTGGATCGGAATGGTGCGAGCTTGGTCAACTACATGGATTAGATTCCTACAGGCTGCAGCAGGAGCTTTTACACAAAAGGACGGCCTCACTGACAAACCTGCATCCAAATCAGACTCTGCCAGGACACATGCCCTTGATCTTCCAGGGCGTCACCGTCGCCCCAGCCAGGCCGCGCTCCCAACGCTGCTTGACTTTCCGCTCCCGATCCCGCTTCTAGGCACAGCACAGCGCAGCACAGTGGAGGATTCAGGGCTTCCGAAGCTTGGTGGTTGCGGAGACTGCAACTGTGTGCTGCTCAATCAACTTAATGGCAGACTTCAACAGTTCACGCTTCTCCTGCTACCGACACAAACCATTTGCTGTCATACCTCGGGAGGCTCAAAGCTCAACTAGTTCCTTGCGTCTCAGGCTCTGCATGCGCCTCCACCGTGCGCACAAGCTCCTCTTTCTCCTTGGGATAGAAGTCCCACACGTGCCTGTACGTCTTCTGTGAAGGTCTCAATGCTTGACACTGAGGCATTCGGCAGGTGTAAGAACAGCCGCAAGTGCATCTGCTGGTAAACATTATCCCACCTGATAGAACGTGATGGCAGCGCGGACACAATGGCATACGTGTCCGCACCTCAAGATTTGGATGCAGCGCAGGTGCGTGCCAAAATGATGAAGCACAAGCCCTACCCAAACCATCCAAATCTGGGGCGTGGACGTACCCATGCTGTCCGCACAGTGTCTTTGACAAGAGCTATCTCACCTCAAACCAGATGCCAAGACTAAAACATGCATCTACTCTTACAGATGCACAAAAGTCGGCGAAAATGTTCTAGCAAAAACTAAGATGTAATGCTGCACATCGCTTCCATCAGCAGGTTTCTTTTGATGCACATTCCCGTCAAATCTTCGGCATCCGTATGACTCTGTTTGATGCAGATGCGCAGACATGCCCCTCGGGCCACATACAATGTGCCTGTAATTCCATAGGGTTCAACCTAATCCTACGGTGGACCACAGTATTAACCTTATTCTTTGTAACTGTCCATTCTGCCCTAGCCCTGGGTGACTGACACTGATTTACACATGTATTGCCTTACTGTTTACACTCCTCCTTCCTTATGGGTAGCTTGGTGCTGTCTTGTGCTGTCGGGTTTCGAACCTTACTGCGGTCTTCCCGAAACCCCGAAAGCTCCACAATTTTCCCGTCCCGTCGCTTCATGAACCCAAAACAACTCAGACCAGAAACTCTTTTCCCGCGCAAAAGTTCTCCAGAAGTCAACCAACTAAGACTCGGGTCCAGGGCTGAGAGTCTAAGGGTAACTGAAATGCTCTCCTGCTGGGGTGTGGGTAGCCAAAGTACGAGCAAACAGCTGACCTGCCAAAATTGCCACCCTGAGGACCACACCAAATTGCTGCCCAATGCCCAGCACCTTGATTTGCTTGGCTTTGTCCACGTTGTTCTCATCCTGCAAACGCAAGCATTGGTCTTGGTGGTCGAGCGCCACCCCTCTTGCATGCACGGCGCCAGAGGGAGTTGGCTGGTTCGGGCAGGTTGGTGACCAATGATGCTGCAATTTCTGAAAATGCTAAGTCAATGCATTCCACCAAATCCCAAGAGCTATGAGCTTTTGGCCTTTGGTCATCTTTGATGCACATCCTGCTGTGGGACTTGCCGGACTTTGTCTCACATATAATGGAATCAATATCAATGCGTCTGATCTCCGCTGAGCTGGGGCACCTCCGCCATGATGTGCTTAACACAAGTGAATGACATTCACGACCCGCACGCACTTTTAGGAGGCAGTGTCAATGTCATTGCTTCCATATGTTTCATCTTGAGAAGTATATGGCTGCATGTGCCGATGGTTTCGGACCTCTGAGGCCCTGCCACTGTACCTCCCACAAGCCAACAACCCTTTGCCCTATGCAGCCCCTTCCACAAAGTCTGGTGAGAAGCAGTCAACTTCTGAGGGTCAGTTACCACGGCGATTGCCAGTTGAATTTCCCTATAGTATGTTGGGGGTATACTGGGATAATGCAAAATAAAATGGAAACACAGACCCTAGATCCGTCAGAACAGCTGTTCTCTGAGGCATGGCCTCGTGGTCTGGAACGTGGATGGAGAGCTCTCCACGGCTGACAAAGTACATCCTTAGCAACAAGGCAGATGGAGCAGATATGCAGAACAAACTCCCTCGCGGGAGCATGAATCGTGGGGATTACTATTGGGGATTATATCGGGACTACTATAGGGATCCATTCCTCCATTCCCTCCTAAGCACCAGGGAGACAAACTTGGTGAAGTTCCCTTCAGACAGGCTACGCATGGGCTACTTCCCCTCTCCGGGCGACATAGTCGCCTGGAAGATACACCTCATCCTGTGGCAGAACTTGATAGGCATTGCATCCATCGGTGGGTCTGCTTCATGCAACCCTCCCCCCAGTCCTCAAGAACCTGAAGAACTGCAATGATGTAGTTCGGATCCTTGTTCCTTGGTAGTGGCACTTGCAAAAAAGCATGCAAACATCTGACCCCCACGTACCTCTCAACTGATTGGCCATGATAAGTTTCCGTGATGCTGAACAAAAAAAGGAATTCTACTGAAGCCACGCGTCTTGAAGTATGGCGATTGCGCCACGAATTCCCGGTACAGGTACACCAGCAAAGTGTTTTCCAATGCTTTGCTGAGATTTTTCTTCTCGAACAAGGAGTTGAACGCCTGGAGTTTGAACACCAGAATGTCTTGTGAATCCCAACTGAGTCTGTGGAGCGCAAGACGACCGGCAGTTGTTCGAGCGGAACATCGACAACTACAGCAAGTCTTACTCATCTTGTCTCAGGTCAACAACACAGCATCGTGCCATGACTTGTCACACAATCAAAAAACTTGCCACGAACGAATGCCGCTGTGGTTGATAGCGTTCGGCATGCTTCTACAACATCTGCGGCTATAGCTCGAGGCTCCGAAGGTTTGCAGCTTTGCTAGCAGCTTCGGGCGTTTTGCTTAACAATCTCCAAGACACCTCAACATCGTGCTCGAACTTCTGGAAGAGATGCATGCTTAACCTCTGCAAATGCACTTCCGCATTATCACTTTGCGGAGAATGTTGGGTCAAGGGAAGGATTCTGCAGGCTCTGTTACTGGCAGAGGCAAGAACAAATCGGCCGTAGAACATACACATTGTCGCAGCGGGACGGGCATCAAGCCAAGCAACACTCTCTGCTGCAGCTGCGGGGGGATTTCCAGGATCTGCAAAGCACGCTCCATGAAGGCCTGCAGGCAAAGCAGCGGAAGGAAAGTGTCAAAATTTCCTGCGACTCCGAAGAAAGCACAAGAAGCTCAAACTAGCAGGATCTAACTAAAAGTACCATGAACAAACAGACTGCCAATGAAAGCTGCAAAACAGCAACCGGTTACCAGTCCCGAGACGGGCCATGGACAGTATGAAGGCATGATTCCAGATGACGCGGGTCAAAACACCAAGTACTCAAGGACTATGCGAAAGAACTAACTAACTTCAAGCAAGGAAGTTCTCCGCACAGCAGTGCTGCCACCTTGCTCTCCTCGTGCTTGCTGTCCAGGGCCAAGGCTCGCTGCTGCTCACGCATGATGGCTGAGATGAAGAGGGCCACCACCACGCCTGTTTCAGGGCAGGCAAATGCCCGAAACGACCGCTACTATGATTAATTGTAATTAATGATACGAATAGTGGTAATGATAGTAGTACTACTACTAATGATAATAATAAAATAGTAGTAATAATAGAACTAGTAATAATAGTAAGACCTGGCCTAACTCCTCGTACCCTCCTTTAATAGGCCTTATAGTACTCCCCATATAATCCTCAAGAATTTTCAAAAAAAATATGTGTAGTCTAAACTAGTAGTAACCCCCCTCAATGAGACTTACAATAATCCCCTATGTCAGACAGTCCAGAAAAAGCTCTCTGCAGCTGAGGCCACACCCTGCTGGGCCGAAGATTGAGACCATGAGCAAGGCTCCAAAGTCCTGGCGGCACTATTTAAAAAAAACTATAAGTATACTAGAATATACTATAAATAGATTGTAAATCTACTATAATATACAAAAAATGTACACAAACGACTTGTGCAAAATCCAGGAGGATGTGAAGAAGACAAGAAAGAGGAGGCGGCGAAGAGATCCTTGTTCCGCGGACCCCCGTCTCCTAGGGGATTGTCCATTGCACCGGTGAGCATGTACCTGGCTGATGACTGGGCCACGAGCAATTTAGAATGAGAAACAAATGTTTAAGTAAGGCAAGACTGGGGCAGCTGCAAGGCTTCCACAAATGCCATGAAGTACAACGACACGCCACCAGAAACTTGACCTGCAGCGGCTGGAAATGAACAAGGCAAAAGATATGATAAACATCAACAAACAGGAAGTCATGAGCATGGGTAAACCAGCGCCACCTGATATACCATAGCCCATGTTGAAAGTCGTCTCGTATTCTTCCTCTCTGTGAATCAGCTCCTCTCCTTGGACGGCATGATAAGAGAACTTGCCGAGAATCCTATGAGATCAGATGTCTGTGACCTCTTTGCAAAGGTGCAAGTCCACCATCTTACGTGCAAATCCCCCATAATCCCCCAGCTCACATGCAGAAAAACCTCAGTGATCCCTAGTGCCCCATGCACTCTACTTCCCTGCATCGGAGCCGCGAAAGCCGCCTAGCGTGAAGAGCAAGCAGGCAGTCCAGTGCGCTGCCAGGACGAGCAAGAAAGGTGGTCGGCCCAAGCGCACAAGCTTGCTGTCCTCCCACCTACCACAGAAGTGGCCAAGTTGCAAGGCTGAAATTGCTGAAAGTTGCTAAGTAAGAGCTGGCCTCCACAAAGCATCTGGCAGCTTTAGCAAGGGACCTGCCCACAACAACAAGAACAACAACCAGTCTTTGAGCCCCTAAAGCTCTAATCCAGCCAAGCCCAGCCTACGCGGATAATTTTCAAGTTGTTGAGCAGCAATGAAGCACCTAGTCCTCACCGGCATGTAGCTCGTCGTAGGAAGCACATTGGACAGCTTTGATGGCAGTTGTGCATGGCACACTGAACCGCACAGTCCTAGCCACAGGTATGAGAAGATGCTGATGGCTTCTAGCCACCATACAAAGCTTCCCGTGAAATAACGCCGAATCCTGGAAGGATCTATGACTTCCTTAGAGCCAGCTTCCGCGTTTGAAACGGATTGCTTACAACTAGTACCTTCAGAATGCAAAGTGAAGGAAGAGGGGGAGGAGGAGGAGGAAAGGGAAAAGGAGGGGCATGAGAAGTTGTCATCATCATGCTGATGGTAATCATCTAGAGGCAGGCTCCCACACTAGTCTTGACAAGTTCTACTGGTTGAGCACTGTACACGGACACAAACTGTCAACGTGCATCTAGAGAACTGCCTCAAGGAGAGCACTAAGACGTGATGTCAAGATCTATCTATAGTTCCCCTTAAGTAGATAGAGTATGGCTTTGGGAAAAGTATCATAAGATCCCCATATACCCCATATTCTATCTACTGAGGGGGACTATAAGCCCATTTCTGGCCAGCAGCTTTTTTGGTAAGCGGATGCAGAAAAGATATCCGGAAGCTGATCACTAGGCAGATGGCGAACAGAATGTCAAAGCTGCCTGAATGGGCATCAGCAAAAGGACTCATCAGTCACAGACTTCGTGCACAGAATGCAGCCCTTTGCAAGGACCAAGTCACAGTCCAAAGCCAGGAGCACCCGGCCACCCGGCACGGAATCAGGTGTTGACCAATCTCCAGATAGGATGAAACTGAGCGGGGCTGTGATGCATGTACCTCAGCTCAGCAAGCAGAACATCTCGAATGACATACAGAGCTATACCAAACAAAATATCACCGAGCGTTCTATTGACCATCCAAGCCACCCACCACAGAAATTAGCCTCAGCAGCTCCACGATCCTGCGAGCTGGAAGCATGGCCATGGGCAAATGGCCGAACGGTTCAGGCAGGCGGGGAATACTTCAAGAAGCCCACAACCCCTTTTCAGCTTGCCCTGGGTGGGACCTTCCAAACTTTGACTTTCCTTCGCGGCAAAGTCCACTCTGCTAGCGTCAGCTATGGGACATCTAAAATACATGCGCCTTAAACTGCCAATGTGACTCTGCCGCTAGTCCAGGCACTTCAACCGAAGAAACCTTTCCGTGGGCACAAGCTATTGCTGGACAGCATGGAAGCCAAACATTCAGCAGCACCTCACAGCCACCCTCCCCATCTCAACCTGACTCCCGCACAAGCGGTTTCTAAAAGGCTGACGCTCGGCGTTGCTCCATCTGATCAGAGCATTGCCTGGAAACCCTGGCCCTTCAATCGGAACAACGATGAAACAATCCCAAACATGAAAGCCTAAGCCATACAACTGAAATCCCACAAGTCGTTCAGAAGTGGGTAGGTTCGGTCCCAGTGGAGTTAAGTAGCCCAGGCTGCTGCGTTTAATACAAGATCCGACAACCAGGATTGCGCATCTGCCATTGATGTTTTCACGCATGCTTCATAAGCAGTCCTCGCCCAGGGAGACAGGTGGAACTGAAGAATGGTCGGATCAGGCTGTGGCAGGAAGACGTCAGATGATCCTCGGAAAAGCTCCTGGCAAGAAAGTGAACCTGTAATACAACAGTGTCTACAAAATGGAAAGTGATCGTCCTTAACGTTAAGGATGTCGCTGGAATCATCATCGCGCTTCTTGCCATCGTACAAAGAGCGCTCCAGCGTGCCCGGCGACCAACTGCAGCTTCTCATAAGATGGATTTAGACTACGTAACAGTTCTCAATATGGATGTCGGGATGGCGCATTTGCCTTCGAGTCGACAGCCATCCCAACCGACATTAAGCAAAAATAGACATTGTCCGCTGAATTATGAAACTGCATTGTCTTTCGCAGGACCCTCAGACCTGTGTCCAAAAGTTGCTGCTTATCGGGCAAGAGAAATGGCGGGCTGCGTGAGCATGAGGGAAGGCAATCAGGTCACGGAAACAAGGGTGGAGAAACGGAGCACTAGTGACCTCTTCGCTTCAGACAAGTCACGCCTTTCCTCTGTCCCCCGTTCCCGTGAGCAGAGACGCAAGCGACCTCAAAAGAAGTGCATGCACAAATGACAGGAATAGAAAAACAGCACATGCTTTCAGCTGCAGAGCCACCTTGCACGCACAGTGATGCGCTGGTTGAAGCGGTGAAGACTCAGCAGCAGCGAGAGACCTCCAGGATCATCAGTCTTGTTGGACTTTTCTGTCTCGACCACGTGCACCTGGCGCCAAGCAGCTTTCTCCATGCCATAAGCAAACACGTCGCCGGTCCCGGGTCTCTTTAGCCAAGGTTCGGCTTCCTGCCGGGTCACGGACTGCACAGCCGAGTCGGCCGAGTCCAGTGTCCCATGTCTCGGTAGCCCGTTGACAGCGGAGCCTGGCGAGGCAGAAAGGTGAAAGTTACACGCATCCCCTAATTTTGGGAAACCCTAATCCCTATAATCCCCTATATAATCCCAGTTTCCATTTCATTTTCCATTTTCTTTTCCATTTGATTCTCCATTGTTAAGGGGGATAATACAAGCCCAGCATAGCCCAGCTATATAGGGTATATATTGGGGTTATATTGGGATAATGGAAAATAAAATGGAAACTACTATAAGACCTATAACCCCAATATTATAGTAGTTTCCATTTTCTTTTCCATTATCCCTAGACAACCCAATATATTTGGGTTTAAATAAACCCTAAACCCTAAACCCTATATTTTGGGTTTAAATAGCCCAGCATCTTCTCTCTGAGGCATCGGCTGTGAGGTGCCGGGACTTTCGGGTTTCCATCGCTCAGAGGCGCGCTTTCCATGTGCTTTCGAGCTGATGGGATCTTGTTTGCTACATAATCCCCTTTTAGGGGGATTCTAGGGTTTAGGGTTTAGGGTTTAGGGTTTAGGATTATATAGTAGGTATATGGTAGTTTCCCAAAATAAGGGGACCCAATGTAGACCCCAATATACTATAATCCTTATTATGGGGACCCCCAAATGGTTTCAATGAACGGCTGGGCTTGTTGGTTGTCTTCCCAGGAACCAGGGTTGCAAGGCGTCTTGCCTTATCATAAATTGGCACTGGGGAATCTGAAAGTCAACACCGAGGTTTCTTCATGGTCCTACTCCTCTTGGCGATATAAGGTGAAACTGTACAAGAAGCTGAGCCAAGTGGAGCACGCACGGCATGTTCGCACGGGACCTCTTGGTTGCATTCTGCTGGGGGAGGATCCCAGTTTAGAGATGCGAGTTTCAAATGACTACAGCCAGACTTTGGGGTCAAGTTCATCATCGCAATGGGAAGGGGAATCAAGGGACTTCATCTATACAGGCCGCGGAAAACATCTTTGGGATATTTGTGGGCCCTGCTGCGGCACCAGTCCGCCTGACATGCATCCAGCTTCACGTACTGAAATCCTTCCGCACCAACCATCGTGCCTGCATCACCCCTTGCTCCACCAGCCAGGCTTCGAGGGAGTTCACAGAGGCCTCTTCTGTCAGCACGAAAACGACCCGAACCAGCACGAATTAAAGTGAGGAAAGGGGCCCCTCACCTTGCAGAAATACGCTACAACAGCAACTAGCATTATTGGTAGTACTAGTAGAAGTAGTGATAGTAGTAATAATAGAAGGATTCATGTTATTACTATTGATAGCCAGCTTAAACCAAGATCATTGGTTCAAATCGGTGCTGATGCAGGAAGGCTGTTTTACTTGGAGGCGTAATTTGATGCTGAGGCAAGGACGTCACCTCGGTATTTTCCTTTGATCCCGCCCTCCTTGATGAGGACAAGGGTGGGGATGCCCTCACGGCGCGACGATAGCTTTATAAAGACCCTGCTTGCCTAGGGTTTCACGTTCACAGCCTCGGAGGCCTTGACCTTCAATCTTGGGAAAACGTGCAGGGTAACGCCCAACCAACGTATAAGCTGCGGCTCCAGGAAAGCTCTACACCATGCTGCTTTGCATTCGCTGCCACATCATGCCATGCATTGCTCCAATTGCCTTCAGCAATAGCAAACGGGATCAAGCGGGCTGAGCCGGTGAAGCTAGCTAGTACCAGGCCACATGCTGTCACTCACAAGGATTGGCTGAGCTGCTTTAGTTCGGAAATGCGCTGCCTTGACGTTGGCCTTCTCGCAGATGGGCTTGCTCACTGTGCAGTCCACCTGGCGTGTTGTCCGGATGGCCTGCTAGGAGGCAATCTTGACTTGAGAAAAATACTTAGTAATGGCGCAGCTTGTACTGCAGGTCATAAGCTTAGAGAGTGGATGGACTTGCCCAAGTCAAGAAAGAACATCCAAGTTGCCCTCCTGATGAAAGAATTCGTCACGCGAACTAGCCACAAGGCTATAGGGAAGACCATGCAAACAGGATGGCAGGACGTCCGCGACTTTGACTGGCCATGCCTTGGCCGCCTCAGACAAAGAGGCTTGAGGAACAAATTAAGACGCCACCCTTCAGCACCGCAGCATGGCCAGTCGCCTCATAAGTCTGACATGAAGCAAATGTGCTCAACAGCACCGAACTGCTCTTACCTCTTAGCTTCAAACTCTCTTGCCTGTTACGTTCTGTCTTGAAAAGACCAGCTGGCATACAGGTCCCTAGGCTGATCCTCAAGGCTTCTAAGCTGGATGCAGCCTGGTCTGCAAACTTCTCCCAGATGGGTGCTAGCCTCTCAGCCAACTTGCGTTCTCAAAAGCAAAGGGGTGCAACACGCTGTTCATGCCACGCTGAAGCTTTCGTTATGTGGCATAAAGCTTGTGGCAGGGTGTATGGGTTCTTCCGTAGGATGAAGGAATGTGATTCATTGGGCAGCTTCCTCCAGGCACAATGCTAGGCAGACACAATGGCGCACCTCTGACAGTGAGTGCACCATGGCCTCAGCAAACATTGTTCATGATTGTCTAGTCATGCTTCCATCAATCCAAGTCTGCGGCGCATAAAACTTTACGAACCAAACGCCGTGCTTCACATTGTCATCGAAGTTGAACTTGTTAAGTTTAACAATATTCTCCTGCACCCAGGCCCAAAGGAAGCATGGCTTGCTGCAAGATGCGTGAAAAACGACCCTGCAGCTGTTGCAGCCCAGAAAAGCTTGGTCCTTATCTGCTCGCACGCAGTTTGCCTCAGGCACATGAGCATCATGTAAGCAACTGCTGACATAGCGATCTTCGAACACATGTCCTGCACACCCCAATATAGCCTTATATAAGCCCTATATAACCCCTATATAACCCCTATATAAACCCTATATAAACCCTAGATAAACCCTATATAAACCCTATATAACCCCTATAGAACCCTTATATAACCCCTATATAACCCCTACCTAGAGCAGAAGCTCCAGGGCCCCTGACGAGAAGCACTGCAATTGAAAGCCGACAAAGCCACTGCAGAGGCATGGCTCCTGAAGGGGTTATAGAGTATATATTGGGGCTATGTAGGCATAATAGGGTATATATTGGGGTTATACATAGGGTATATTATTGGGGTTAATATGTGTAGGGATAATAGGGTATGCACTCTGCAGAGGGGGCACAGCTGGCACTGATAGAATCCCACGGTCGCGTTGGATACGGCTGCATGACTTCTCAGTCCTGTGGCTCTGTGGTGCGGCGGACACCACACACTCCACTTTGAGCCACTGAGCAGCGGACAGAGCCCATCGACTGCATTACCAACATGCTACACTTGTTCACAAGATCCTCTGCCTGGCCAAACAGCCTTCTGCGTTAAGCGACGTACGGCAGAGCAATATCCGTTTTCCCCCTTACAGGGACAACTGTACACCAGTCCAGTGGAGTCCAGCTCCCGGCATTCAGTGAGTAACGAGTCGCGTGCTTCACAGCGGGCTTAGTCGCCGCGCGCCGCTTTCCTGCGATGTCCGTCCAGGCCTGAAGACCACCATGGAAGGATCTAGGACCGGCAGGACTACCTTCTCGAAGCAACAGTCAGAGCTGAAAGCAAGTTTCCGGCAATCTTCGTTGTGGAAAACAATCAGATCACTCGAAGTTGTGGTCATCCATGAGTACCTGAGCAATGCTCAGCGCTCCCCTTAGCTTAGCAGACCATTTGGGCTTTCCCAAGATTAGGGGTGCCATTTTTGGGGTCCCAGTAATAAGGACTATAGTATTTTGGGGTCTATATTGGGGTCCCCTTATTTTGGGAAACTACCATTTATGATCTGCGCAGCTCGCAAAAATTCAAAGAAATTCAAAGTCGGAGCACAGCTGGCCGGACCATTTGGCGGCCAATATGACCGATCCAAGACTCCTACCAGGTTTAGGGTTTAGGGTTTAGGGGACTGTCTGCTGACAAGACGGCAAGCCAACAAGCAATGCTGGTCTGAGTGCGATGACCTTGTCTGACGAGGAGTCTGCGATCAAGTAGAATACCTGAGTCAAAGCAGAATTGCCTGACATGATCTGGAAGGTGCAATCCAAAAGTCACATACCTTGCTTACCAAGCAGCGCGGGCTGGGGTGTCCACTCGGAAGGAGTTCTCCTTTCCGGTATCCTGCAGTCTCAGGTCTTTGAAACACTGGCACCGGCCATGCATAGTTTGTTGGGAATGGTACTACTTTGCCTTCCAGAGGAGCTGCCAGTAATCAGGATCAATACAATGCCCAATCGGTGATTGGACAGTATCTCGGCAACCCACGGCCGCCAATAACCAAACGTATACAGGGATCGATCTATAACGCATGTATCCGCAAACATCCACATCTTCCGAGTCAATGCTGCATCAGCAAATACACATCGAAACGGAAGTACAAATTGCGGAAAGCGAATCCTAAAACACACCGTGTCAACTCAATCGTCAAAAGGGTTTAGGGTTACCCTAAACCCTAAATCCATGCTTTGTTCAAAAATCAGCTTCGGCTGAGGCAGCCAATCACTACCAACCTGGACCTCGAACACGCCATCCCCTTAGGCCCAGAAACTCTCAGCAACCCAAAGAAAAAGCTTCTTGTACCCCCATGCCCTAAGCCATAAACCGTATGTATGTAGATTCCCTTTTTCCCTAGGAACCCCCAACCCTAAACCCCAAACCCTAAACCCTATGATAGTCCCTTATTCCCTACTAACCCTCAAAGCAAGATTAACTGCACAACAGCGCACCCTTTGGGGCCTCATCTGCAGACTTGACAGTGGAGCACTCTGCCAGCCTGCGTGATAAACATGTCAGACCCTTGGATATCTGTAATAGTAATAGTCATAAGAATCGTAGTAATAAACAATAGTAATAGTGACAATATTCATAGTACTAAACAATAGTGATAGTGATGATAATCAAAGTAATAGACACAGTGATAGAATAATTCATAGTAGCAACAGTATTCACCGAAACCCCCACGTCAACGGATCCTGACCTTATGTGCTCGGTGGGGTTCCTGTACTCACCTTGACACAATCACGCAGTCTCCAGCAGTTCCACTCAAAGCGCTCTAGACTCTGGAGCAGCTGTTGATCCTGATGGGCCATATGCTCACATCATCCGCAGCCTCTCCTTCTGAGGAGCTGACCCTGAGACTTAAAGCTGCAAAGGTACTGCGGCGTCAAGACGAACCAGCGCCTGCAATTTGTGGGCAATCTCTGAATGTCTTGTCCCTTGAGCCCCCAACCTAGCTACAGAAACAGCCTGCAGTGCTACTTAGGAAGCCCAACGCGGCCTTCTCCATTCCTTCATGTGCTTGGACCTTGCCGACCACAAGCAGCACGTGATTTGCATGCCTATTAGGTCTGTGCTCAGACAGCATGCTGAAGGCCGGGGCTGCTTGACAAGAAAGCCCTCTTTGATGATGTCATCCCGGTGAATCACAATCTCCTAACGCGTGCATTGCCGCCAGAAGTGGAGACACCAAAGAAGAGCCGGAAGAAAAACGCTGATTCAGCTGGGGCACAGTTCCGGCCATGTCCACGTCGGCACACAAAACCAATGCTCTGCGTGCGATAAGCTTGAACCAAAATCATTTACTGCAACAAGGGCTCTGGACAAACAACAGCCAACCTGCTAAGGTGTTGTCTCCTATGTCAAGGCACAAAGAAATTGCGAACGAAGCCGCCAAGCTGGACGCAACATGACCAACGACCTACTACATTTACGTTCTCTTTTTTTGCCATTCTTTCTGAGTCGGTAGTTTCCCAAAATAGGGGGACCCCAATATAGACCATCATACACTATAGTCCTTATTATGGGAAACACCAATACCGTACCCTCAATTTTGGGAAACCCCCAGTCCTTCTACGAAGCCTTCTCCGGCTCAAACGGCCTGGGATCCAGCGGCAGGCCAGGTTGCCATTGGCGGGCCCTGACGCGCAGCATTCGCAGTTTAGGGTTTAGGGTTTAGGGTTTAGGGTTTAGGGCCGCGATCAAACACTTGTAGAGTTCCTCTGTGCAGGCCTTGAAACCGAGTGTTGTTGGAAAAAAGATCCCAGTCCCCAGTCTGGATTCGCATACACTCGGAACCAGAGCAGATGGTCGTTGAAGCGCTGAGATAAATGACCTGCACGAAGCTCTGGCACAAAGGCATCCTGAATAGCTTACGTTGGAGTAACTGCGTCTCATAAACTGAGACACAAGCTGGGAAATCCTAAGGCCCCTGCAGGAGGGCCAGTCTTGGAGTGGGCCCTGCGCAGACCAGAGCTCCATGGCCGCACCTGCCGGGCAGAAGTAAGAATGATAATATTAACAGCAACAACAGTAATAGTAGTTATCATAGTAATACTTATGGTAATGATGACGATAACAATACGAGTAAAAGTACTAGTAATAATGGATTCTGCTACTCGCTACAGTTGCAAGCTGGCTGGGCTTGTTGACCGCAAACACTTAGAGACAGTTATCTTTCGGAGGCCCAAGCAGCCTCCCGCGCGGAGTGCACCCAAGTCGCTGCAACTTCTACACTGGGTTGCTGTTAAGGGACGTAAATTAAGTTACCATAATGGGTATATATAGTAAATAATAGGGTTTCCCCAATATACTAACTTAATTTAAGTTCGTTAACAGCAACCCAGTACAGGCTCATGCAAGACTTCAATATTCAGCTGACGTACTTCTGCTTAGCTTTGCCCAAGGCTCCCACATACTCCAGAACTCCTTGCATAATTCGACCCAGCACGAAATTGCAAGCCTGAAGAAACACGCAACGTGCATATTAAGTGTATAGCAGGAATCCATTGCCAAGAAAAATGGGGACAGCAGTACTGTACCTTACAAGTACCTCATCTTTACCTCAGCACTACGGACCCAGTATGATCTGCATGCTGAATGTGACCAACACCAATACTGTGCTTCATGTCCTGTGCATCTTTGCAGCACCACTAAAATTAATTTCTCGCAACACATGAAGCAATCCAAGGGATACGTGTCCCATTCGACTTCGTTGTAATACAACTCCTGCTACGAAGCTTCGTAAGTTCAGTCCGGCATTTCCAGAACGAGCATCAAGCCAGATCATGATGCAATGTATGCCGGACATCACATTCCTTTCTAATTTTCCATCCTAATTTCAACGTGGTCCTGACATGCAATGGTGGCATCCAACTCGCTTCTGACAGCTATGACTACCTGTTATCAGAGATACCATCTTCCTGTGAATCAAAGCTTTCTAGTGCTTGGGGTGCTGTGAGGAGACTGCAGGTTTCACACGTCGCTGTCGCAACGGCTCAAAGTCAGGCTGCACCTCACTGAAATATCCAATTCAAGTAGTATGTATGGATGAAAGTGATAAAGTCCTACATGGTGTATTGAGACGACAGGGACTTCCAAAGAGTCCTGGCCTCCAAAGAAGTGCTGCCAGACGCGCTGTTTGACGCGGCAGTACTTTCCGCTTTCAACTCCTCAAGCTTTCTGGTAACGGTAATGGTAATAGTAGCAATAATAGTAATAGTAACAGTAACAGTAATAATAATACTAATAGAAATTAGCAGACACGCTGCACAAGTGCCAGTGTAAAACTGCCTGGAAGGTCTCGTTCACTTGCCAATTCCGTGCAACCCTTGCACAACCATTCCATGTCTTCGGTGGGGTTGTCCGCGTACCTGACACATCTGCCGAGAAATTTCTTACAACTTCATGTACTCCAATCATGAACACAACCAGGGGCTGGGCATATCTGTGTTGGTTTGGTAGGCTCGCAAGGGCAGAAGCTGCAAGTGCTGGGTCACCTTGACGGACTTTCCATGACAGCCTTTAAGGTACTTGCATATGTCTTTTAGCAGGGACCCTAAAGAGACTTCAAAAAAAACCTTCGTAGCCTGAGGATGCGGGGTAGGTGAACTCATAGGCCAAGAGTTTTCTGGCCAATGGCACCTAAACGGAAGCTTGCCGGGTTCACAAGATACTGAACCAGCACCATCTGACATTCTCATTTCCACAACGAAGAAGATACTTTGCAAGGCCTCCCAGCAATCGGCGCTACTGCCGCCAAGAAGTCACCGTATCGTATGGCTAAATCCCACACACCCGCGGCACCCATGGAGATGCCCGTCGCATAGAGCCTCGCCTATTGCTGGAAGCAATGTGTAGATAATCTGTCAACAGACGAATGCAATGCAAACATTGCTGTAGCTGGGAACGAGGAGCGAAGTCGACGCGGGCAGATCCAAGTCTTCTTAAAACTTCGGTGAAGACTTCCCAAACGACCTCACGAATCTCAAGGCACGACTGCAACTCTTTTAATGCCATTTCACACGCTGCAAGCAAGCAACTGGACCATTCCATTCCGGCTTTCGTCGCCAGCAGACCAGTCCACTCTCGTAAGTAGGCTCGGGAACCAGCACATAACAATGTGAGCGGATGACCTCAAACATTTGCTTTTGCTTTTCCGTAGTGTCCATGAGTGCAAACCACCACACAATGAGGACAAGACGGGATCTTGCAGAAGAAGACCAACCGCGTCCGCAAGCAAATCGTGCTTGCCACCAACGTGGCCATCGCCAAGCAAGAAGAGAAGCACGCCCGCTCTCGCACATCCGTTTGCAGGAGGAATGACGATGCATCTGGCATCTTGTCCATCAGCGCACTGACCAGCCCGACAGTCTCTCTCCCACCAGCTTTCTTCCAACAGAAACCTGTTTGTTCACTTTTCCGGCCATTGATAAAATTTCATATCATGTTCGAAAAAACTTTCCAACATGCCACAATGCTGCCGCGTCAAGCGTGCACAACGGGATGAATGGCGAGATGCCTTCGCGTGAAGCTCAGAACTGAATCAATCCCGATGTTGCAGCTGGACACTTGCCTGCGAATGTTGACAATCTTCACAACAGTGGCTGCTGCGTGATGTCACAGCGTATTCGCAACCTGGTGCATGATTTCAAGCTTCAAGTGTCTTGCAACGAATATGCCTACACCGAAAACATTGCGGACAGCGAATGGAGTGCCTGATTCGCTGCAGGACGAGCGCCCGTCAATTGCCCACAGTGACTCACACTCGGAAGGACGTCCATGGCTCTGACGACTGAAGAATATGCCCATGCTTTTTGGCACCTCCAACTCCAAGCTCGTAAATTACGACAATGTTGGTGATTTGTTGCTGTTCTGCAACAACCAACCTTGAAACGCCAAACAAATTTGTAAACATGTCGTAAACGAAAATTGCAAGCCGAACTGTTACGTCATGGCTCAGAAACGTCCCCAACACCAGTAAATTTCAAGACTATGTAATGAATAGTTTCATCATGACCGGATGGTGGCCAGCAACAAAATTTTGGTGAGCTGACAAACCCCGGGCACACCATCAGTCCTTTGAGTGAGTTGAATGTGTTCGTCGTGGCAAAATGCTGTAACATTCATGCCTACGAGCATTTTCCCGAACCCTGTCAAGATGTATGTACTAAGGCATTGCAAGTGCCTACACCACCCTGTAGTGCTTTGTGGTGCTTCAAATGCCTATATGAGCCAAAATCTATTTAACAAAGCAACATATGGTGACCTTCACCTGGTCCGATGGACCCATAATATTAAAGCACGGTTTGTCATGGGGCCTGTTATTTCATATGCGTATTGTTGATATGTATAAAAATGTGGTA